ATATATATATATATATATATATATATATATATATATATATATATATATATCATATGCACTTAGCGTCGAAACAATAATCCTCTACAACGCAATTAGTGTTCATGTTATCACTGCTTTGAATTCGAACTTTTTCTCTATTTAATGAAAAATACTAAGTGTTTGTTTCAAAACTAAAATTTGAACTGGAAACTATGTCTCTCAAAGAGTAATTTATTGAATCGAGGTAAAGCTTCAGCCTCCAAAAAATAAGGATTCGTTTAATTACACATTCTTTTATGTTATTTAGATTTTAATGGCTTGAAATATGGTCAAAGTTTCGTTGGAGCTTAGCTTAAGAAACTATTGAGCGAAAGTAGGATTTCCCAATTATTCGGGAGTATTTCAGATTATGTTCAAGTTCCTTTGGTATCGGAGGTGTTCGTGTGCTATTAAAGCTATCTTTAAATAATACTTGATTTTTAATTGATCGGTTTGTATTTATTTAACTAGGTGGAATGTGATGCTGGAGTGCCATGCCCAACTGACGGGGCGTGGTGTCCGTGGTCTTCAACTGTCGTCAAGTGTTCTGAACCCTGCGGTGATAGTGGAATGGGACTTCGAACGCGTCGATGCAATTGTCCAGCTCCTGCTCATGGAGGGAAACCCTGTATTATACCTAGTGGGAATAAAGAGACCGCCGACCTCATGAATACTCAACTCAAAAGGGCAATAGTAAGAAATGAGACTGCCTCTCTCACCTCCCTGCCAACAATTGCAGATATTGCAGCAATTGCTGATGGCTCTGGAAAGTAAGTAATCGTTTAGATTTTGGTCTCCTAATCAGAAATACGAAATACGTTGAAAACTTAGTTAATACAATTTCTTTATTAAAAGAAGGTTCCTAAATTCTTCTATTCCCTTAAAATGGGTTTTGGACAACATCTGTCAAGTGCATTAAGTGCACCCATTTTGAGTAATTATAGTCAAAAAAAGATTATGATGTTACAATGGAGTTAAGTACGTAAACTCACTTAAACGCTAGTACGACAAGGATTAAATTGGAGAAAATTCAGTTAAAGAGAAAATTGAGTATGTACTTGAAAACATTTACAAATTTCACTTTTGCATTGCCAATTTGTTCTTCTTTAAAAGACCTAGTCCAGTGTTTTATGCACTTGCTTTTTATTGTTTAAATACCACGATTTGCTTTTCCAAACCCCCTCCCCCCCCCACCCTCCTTTTTGAGGTAACCAGATTTAGAAGTGATCACATTCTTTTCAACTTTCTCCATTTAAGTGGTCTTCCACTTTCTCAAAACTGATTTTTTTTAAAATATCCTCGTTATCTTTGTATTTTTAAATTTTATTTACTTGCAAATGCATCGAACACTTGCAACATCGGTGAGTCAGTTCGACTTTGTGCTCCAGTTTGTCATCTGATCAAGCTGTATCAATACGCTCGCTGCTCAGTGGCTTATTCAGTGAATTAAACTGTTGAAATGTTCGCCATTGACTAGTCAAATGTGTTTGTCTTCACTTCCTATGTACTAGCATCACTGCAACCTCGCTCCCTCAAATCATTGATCCCTGTGCGTAATTTAGTAAGGCTCATTAACTAACGATCTTTTACCACAATGATCTCTAAATTAAATAAGGGGATTGGTCACTCCATATAATTTTATCTTCTATTTTTCAAGAAACAAGAAGACGATGAGGATCAATATTCCTAATAGATAATCAAAAATGTTGCTGAATGTCTATTAAGAGCCAACAAAATTTCATAATCCCAGCAAAATTGGAATTGCTCTTTTCATAAAAAAAGCTGTTATAACAATTGCATTACAGCTGTTATAGACAATCGAATTATCTGTTGTGTGTTGCTTTCTTCTAATCGAAACAGCCCCATAGCCTCCACTTTAGTTCTCTAGTTAATGTCAATTTTTTCACAGTGTTGGAAGAGCAGTAACAGTCGGTGTAAAGCATGATAATGCCTATTATTCTCTTTTGTGATTTAGGTGTGTCACAATCATCCTAGAGAAATGGGCAAATATTACACTAAAAAATTGATCTCTAAAATCCTGTTTATGACTGCAGGTTTTGGACGTCATGGTTGGGTTAAATTGTCTCGGCCGGTGACAAGATTGGGCATCTAATTTTGTTGTCAATTAGTTTTTAACTAATTTAAATCCAAGGACACACCAAAGTCTCGAATGACAAAGCGTAAACTGAGGGACTTAGTAGAGTGGAAACATTGATCAACAGCAAGTCAGGTGTGATTAATTGTGTCATTACAGAATATTTACTTGGAAATATTAAAATTTTGCGCTCCAAGTTTGTTGGCTACAGACTGAAATTGTATTATTTTGAATTCATATGAGACAACTTCTAGAAATGTCTTCTGCTGAAACGTTCAGAGTATTTCTTGCATATGACTCCCATTTGACATTTAGCGATTCCAAAATATGCCAATACAAATGGTTGACATTCCTGGTTCTAATTTGGATGGCTAGATTATTACCCTCGTTCCCGACCGAATAAATTGGTAGCTTCAATGTACGTTTTGTTAAATAATGTTTAAGGTTGTGCAACTTGATGAATTTCGTCTTGAAAAAATTCAGTACACTTGTAAACGAATTAGCAACGCCAATTCACTCCAAATCACCTAACTTCGTTTGCGTTTCGAAATGCTGCAACCAATCTTAACCCATTTCCTTCATTTCTCCTCCACTCTTTTAATTTCAGATCACGTGCAATCTACCTCTCGAAATTGCACAGCCTGAGAAGAAGAAGAAGAAGAAGAAGGAAGAAAATTAATTAAAAACAGTATTTAGCAAGAATTACAAACTCAGAGAGAAAGACATTTTAACATACCGACAGCAGATCAAACCACTGTAACATATAAGTACATTTCTAAATCATTGCAAAAATTAAGAGAAATTACCTCACGCAGAGATGGAAATGATAATATCTAAACCACCTTGCTAACTTGGAGGAATATGGGAATGACTCCTGAAAGTACACTCGAAAATCCGTTTATTGTTTAAATTTAGAAAGGGAATGAATATTCTATTCGGCGATCCTTAAAATCTCTGAAAATTAAATCTTTTAATCTTAATTAAATAAGCGTGTTCTAAACTAACATATGAGTGGCTTACCTGAAGCACTTAGCTATGCTTTACTTATTGTAGCAGCATGATACTAGCCAACATGATTTTGTCACGAATATTTATCCCACTCTATTACCCGTTTGTTATCTCCTACATTCATCGTCCCAGGAAGTTGAATATTCTTCATGGTGTGATAAATCAATATTCAAACTGTCCATCTATAGTATAAATGTCCCCGTTCCAACTGCTATTCTTAATTCTAAAACCCACTTATCGACTTTTTAATCAAGAACTTAAATTTTGCCACCCAATACACTTCCCCATTTCTTTTGTCACTAATTGGTGTCGAATTTCTGGCTTCAGGGACAAGTATACTGGCGGTTGTGCTATCGGTGTACTTAAATTGGGTTAAAATATCAAAGCCTTGAAAAGACATTTATAATTTCGCTGTTTTCCTAATGAATTCAAACAATGGTAAGTGTTTCATAATGGTTATTAACAATTGTCTCTTTTGCATTGCTTAATAATTTTTTTGAGTCACTGCTTTACTACCTTGGAACTCAGGGGGAAAACTTCATGAACAAGTGCAATTAACTAATTTTAAAAGAAAAGAATTTATTTTTTCTTAATTTAATGCTAACTTGAAAAGTGCCAAAAGCTACTTAACATTCCAACCATATTTACTCTGGCCTTCACTAATTTCTCGTCATCGAGTAATTCCGTATTTTCTGGTTTAGATTCTGCTCACATTCGTATGTTTCCCTACTACTGAATCATTAATTTAAATGCCTTATTATTTCTTACTTCGTCTTTCTATTTCCTCTTAGTTGTCCCTTTATTTTTTAATTAACTTGTGATAGTCAATTATGCTTTTTTCTCTCTTCTTAATTATTAAGTACTTAATTAAGGCCGTTTCTGTGATCAATTTATACAAATCCTAGTTCAACGCAGATACCATGGTAGAAATAAAATCGCACTTCAAACTTAGGCTAATTATTTGATGTGAAATATCGAACTCAAATTCCCTCTCTCCTATTTTCGTAAAGGTGGGATTCATGCAATCGGAAATACTGCCCATACCTCAAAGAACTAACTGAAGACGAGACAAAAATTATTGCCAATGACCTCCGTCAGCAACATCCCGAAGCTGTATGGCTCTGGACTAGCGGTAAACCAGCCAATCGGTTGGATCCCATTGGCTTACACTGCTCCTCTGATTTGCGCTCTCGAGCTGAAATTTTCGACAAACGCTATAGATTCCCACGCGGGCATAGCTTTTGGACTCTTTCTAGAAGCAAATCTTCTCGTCAGCCCTATTATTTTGTTGGAATTCCAGTTAAAGACACCAGACGCCTGCAAATCACCGAAGATCGTCTAATCATTCGAGGTTTAGATGAAGCGGATGAGGGCGTTTATCGATTTGGGTATGAATATGAGCCGGGTCGATTTGCTACCATATGCTACTTTGCCGTATATCTCCCTAATAAATACAGAGTAAGAAATCTTTTTGTCTAAGCGTTTATGCACTACTTATTTATAGGTAGTAGAAAGTGGAAAACCATTTGTATTTAGTTGCAACGCTTTGGGACTGTGGCCTGTCATTCAACAGACACCCGAAGGCATGTGGAGAACGTATTGGTCATATGAACCGGATGAGAAAGCAAAATCTCTCGGAATGAAGCCAAAAAGTGAAATGTGGTTGTCTGTCCTAAGAGTTATGAGTTTCACTGATGATGACGATGATGATTCAAATACAACTAAAAAATACAGAAGTAATTTCACAGAGCTGACCCTACTTGACACTGAGAAGAGACGTATCGATGAGGTAAAGTACTCGATGAGTGGACGTTATACATGCATAGTGGAAGCTAAACACGATGGTCTGGCTGCTCGAAAATTCATTACGAACGATATTTACCTTGACGTTATCTCTCCACCGTCATTAAATCAAATGGTAGTTAACATAAAATAATTCATAGCGTACTTTAAATTAACGCTTATTGCGCTTTATCATACTAGGTTCTGCGCTGGTTCCGAACGAATTGGAAAGCCATCGTTTTTCTATTGATCGTATTGGGAATCTTAACCATTGTCTACATGATAGCTGTCAAAGTGCGAGCGGGACAAACGGCGACCCTGAAAAAGTTTGCGGCTGAGGAGGAAGAGATGAAGAAGGCTAGACTGTATACAGCTGGAGATATTAAAGTGAAAACCACCTAGATGTTTTTGTTCATATACGTTAAAATGAAGTTTGCTATTGTTTACCTATAAATGAAGTGCTTTACCTAGGTGATCAATATTCACCCATTCATATGGCCTGTTTCAATACACCTATTTCAGTGTCACGTTAAATGTCCAATCCAAAAAAAACATTGCCAGGTAGAAAAATACGAACGCTAATAGCGAATATGATTTCCACGATCGAGAATATCAATTCAAGATACTGTATCCTGGGTATTTCAAAGATATATAAAAGAAAAACAGACTCGCTTTGATAGATGGAGAAAATTTTTTGGCAAATTAAGTAGGCAAGAATATATATGCAGATATATATTGGATTAGACAAATGAAAAACTGTTGGCTGAAAGGTTAGCCAGTTCATCCAATTTTACATCGAATACTCTAAAATATTAACGTGATCTTTCTAATATATCTTCTTTTTGAGCATGATTATTCTCTGTTGAATTTTTTAAGAAGTTGAAAATGGGTATTTGGTCATTGTCAAAACCGCAATGTCCTATTTAATTCTTCACCTTGATGTGTATGCCCTATTTTAGTGATGCGGATTTTATTTGAGCCTCTTCCTCGTCTGTGCCTGAATGGTTGTATTTACAATGACCCTGAGTGGCATCATTTGTGGTCAAGAAATTGAGTCGACTCTGCTTTCCAATTCGGAGAATTTTCGACCATTTATATAGAAATTCTTATTTATTGGACCTTTTCTCTATTCATCATTTGAAAAACCTTTTGTTTTATCGTTTTTTTTGGTTTGTTCTCATGGCCTCTTACCATAGTCATGCTGACACGTATGTTGCCTGAATTTCCAGTACTGGGCGATGTGCCACTGACTACAAAATGAATAAGCTGATGGTGGTTTAGAGGTCAATTTTCCTATTGGGGAAATTTCATTTACTAGAGTGGGTTAACTAACTGTTAGAGCTTTGATTTGTCAGCTGATCATTTGGAATCAGGACTGGGTCCTTCAACAAATTCTCGATCTGATGTCTCCTTGTGACAACGTTTAAGGGTGCGTTGACTCATTCTTCTTTGATTCGCTGTAGAAGGGTAACTCAAACATAAAGGGGACATTTGAGCTCATTACTGGAAGTATTCTTGAAGTCGAGCTTTCAAATTCACTCCTAATTGTACTAGATAAAGTTTCGGCTTTCTTTTGATCTGTAGAAGTTAATTAGACATCGGAATCTTGTACGGAACGGTGAAATTTTATTCTTAATTTGGTGGCATTGAAAATTTGAGGTCTATTTCCTTGTTTTTGGCAGGAGTTAATTCTTAAATCTCCCATACTCGTCAGCGCTCACATTTTGCCATGGGATTTAAATTGTGTTAAATACATTCATTTTCAATATTATGGTGGATATTGTTGATATAGTGAGCGAGAGGATGTTCATCACTGGGGGCCTGAACTAATGAGGCCTGTTTAGAAAGAAGGCATCATTTCTCTGTCAGCCACTCTATTATATCCATTAGTGTCTATTATAACATTCTTGCTGATAATGGAGAAGAGGTCGAAGCAGCTGGTAATTTAGATTGTCTAAACAGCCTCCTTCTTACTTCGAAGCTATTATTGATGCTAATACGCAATTGATGACGTCACCAAATGTATCCACTTAAATGTCATAATAAATGCAAAGTTACTGATTTCGATAAATAATGAATTACTGCCGAAAAGTAGAATTTTTACAAATGGCAAGCATTTTGATAGTTATCATTAGCCCTTTGGCTGACTTCGGGCTTCACAGAGAGGTGGAGGAACATTAAAGTGAGAAAAAGTCGACAGGGGAAAAGAAGAGCGATTCACAGATGTAAAAGAGACAGATGGACACAAAGGCAGAGAAAAGGCTAGATGAGTACTATGGAAGAGGTCGAATATGACATACAGTGGGACCATTGTAGTTCTAAGTCAGAAGTCAACTTCCGCCTAATAGACTTTTTGGCCGTATGAGTATACGTTGCCCAGGGTGCACCACATGGAGGTAAGTCTATCGCACACCCCATGCCGAAAAGTATAGAAGCACCTCATGGCCACATAGTGGCAGTAGAAATCCAAGAAAAGTCTTCTGTTGTAAAAGGGGTGTCATAACTTAAACATTTTCATAGAGAATCTATCATTACTTACATAATAAGAACACCAATAGGAAATAATGCATTTTACTTGAATTCAGTTTGTATTCAAATGCGTCGGTGGAAATAACACTAAACTTCTTCTCACTTGACTAATCGTGGCAGCATTGTTTTTTGAACGAAAGCTTTCTTTTGATTGTTAAAGGTACAATTTCCAACCCTAGAGCCGACAGAGAGGTCATTAGGCGGACATTGCTTCGCGCTCTCCTATCATTGGGTCTTGAACGCCAACAAGACTATTACTAAAGGTACCAGAGAAATTTGTGAACGAGTGCTTACCCTCCACCGATGTCACACTTGGTTTAAACGAAGGTAAAGAAGCCAGAATGGTGTGTCGAGTTAAGAACAAGCTTTAAGTTTTGATACTAACCTCTTAAAATCCCTGTTGAATTAAGATCCCTCGTTAAATATGGAAGAATTATTGCAAAAAAACTCGCAGTTCAATTACTCCGGAAGCTCATGGGTACATTGAATAAGTAAAAATCATATTGAGTAGCAAATATGATTAGAGAAACATCTGCATTCTTTATTAACTCGGAAAAATAAATTCTTCCTTTTACACCAAATGGTTATTGGCATAAAGAGTTGACTCCCAATCAAGGACCACTCCATCCAATAGGTCAGCCTTGACTCTTCTAAAGCTTTTATTTATTTGGTGGAAGGCAGAATAATTCACAATGAATGACTGGAAGTATGCGAAATAGTTGCAGTCAGACTATTTTGTTGCCAAATGTTAGAAGGTCAAAACCATAATTAAAAGATACAGGTTCAATTTTATTTAACAGAAGATGAATAATTCTTCATAATACAAATACCTGCTAAATCGATCTCACAAGGCGTGAAATATGTACAATTAAATCGGAAGATTCTACCACATCCTCGATATTAACCAGACCTTAGAGTTTTGAACTTTGTAAATGATGAAAAATATATTAAAAGAAACACGATTTCGATACGCTACAAATGTCAAGACTAATGTTAACAAATATTTATCTCAAAATGGAAAGTTGTTTTAAGAAGAAATACAAAATATTATTGAATTAATGTGGAAATCTGTAAATATTGATGAAATTTATATCAATGGTATCATATACAGCTCTAAACTATATAGCATTAACATGTTTCATCATACCCTGTTCCATAATGATAACGTTAAAACCATGGGGGCTTGAAGTGAAGAAACTAGCGACAATTTAAAAAATATGTAGGAAATAACTTTTATTAACATTTTCTTTAAAGAGCTTCAAACTTTTAGTAAACTTTTCATATGAATACGTTTCCTAATTATGAATTCCCCTTCGTGATTGCTTGAATTTATGCTTATATGATTGGATGGTTAATGAGCGAATGGGTGGGGTTAACCTATCACAGGGGGAGTCGCGAGAAAAGTGTGCGTTAAGCGGTAATTTTAGCCAATTATGATTAGAGGCGTGGCTACGAGCATTTGAGACTATATAAGTTGACTGAAAAGGGGAGTTTGTACATTTCGTTATGGATACGTTTTCAATTGCAGCACTTTCTGTGAATGACCATAACAGGAAGGCTCCAGTAAGTCATGTTCACTTTCGAATATTTAATTTTTCAATTTTGGTTTTACATTCTTTAATCAGGAATTATTTTATTATATGTGCTTGAGAGTATTTTTACCAGTATAATTTCTTTCAGATTAATGAAATGAACATTTTGAATAAATATTTATTTATTTAATTGCTAGTAGAGCATTATAAGGCAAGTTTTGCCTTAAAAATTTTATAAATGTAAATACTTAATAAAAAAACACAATATTGGCATTGGCATGAAGATTCACATAAAAGTAATATGTAGAAGGAAAAACCTAAAAGCATATATACGGAAAATTTTAATGTTTAAGATCCAAACACGCTTAAATTTTATATTATGAATAACAAACTATAGATAGGATAAGTAAATAACGGCAATTTTTCAAAAAAATGGCTCATGCCATGAGCTCTAAGTTTCTTGCAACATGAAGGCTGTGCTTTTTAAAGAAATCGTAATTACTCACTAATTATTTATTATGTTAACATAATGTAAATAAGTAAAAGTTAACATTTAAAAAAATATGGAGATTATTTCTGTTACTAATATTTTACACGATATTTTATTTATTTATATCAAATGGCAGGCGTTGGGAAAGTTATCAATTCACAGAGGAGGAGGGACATCAAAGTGAAACAAGTCGAGAGGGAGAGAGGGAACAGAAGAGAGTTTCAAAGATGTAAAATAGGCAGACACAGATGTGGAAAAAAGTGAGGTGAGTAGTCGAATATAACCTACAATGGGGTGAGGGTAGTTTGAAGTCAGAAGTCAACTGCCAGTTAATGGACTTTTTTGCCGTATGAGTATGCGTTGCCCAGGGTGCACCACGTGGAGGTAAGTCTATCGCACACCCCATTTTACACGATATAAAAAGGCGTTTTTTTCCATTTTCATAATTCTAATCTACATAAAAAAGTGCCACACCACCTATTGGAGAGTACAAAAAGCGTTTAATGTTGAAAAGGTATACTAGATGAATTTACCTAAGCAATTACTAATTCGATCGCACCCTCCCATTCAGTTGATTTAAAATCGATAAAAAGCTTACTTAATTAATGAAAAAATTTTTTCCCGTTGTTTGCGTTTCTGATTTATTATTCATGCCAGCACTACATTTTAGGAAATACGCAAAATATTTATTTATATCAAATGACAGGCGGTTTGATGCTTATCATTTGCCCTTTAGTTGACTTCAGGTTTCATAGAGAGGAAGGAACATCAAAGTGAAAAAAGTTGAGGAGGGGGCTGAATAGAAGAGTGTTTCAAAGACGAAGGTAGAAAAAAGGTGAGATGAGTACTGTAAAGTAGTCAAATATGACATACAGTGGGATGATGGTAGTTTGAAGTCATAGGTCAACTGCCGGCTAATAGACCAGGGTGGACCACGTGGAGGTAAGTCTATCGCACACCCCATACGCAAAATAAAGTTGCCCTTAATTTGAAGTTCTGAACTTTACAAAAGGCAATCATAGATTAATCAAATAAAATCGAATAGAAATCGATAATGAATTTAGGTCTCCTTATGTGGTCTCCGGGTGTCTGGGTCTATCTCATGCCCCCCAATACTCCATTTCAATCCTTTGGGGACCTAATTATGCTATATTTATTTATTTATATCCACATATGAAATTGCAAAGGGATTGGCAAAGATTGGTGTGAGACATAATTTGTTTTCTGACCATTTCGAGCCGAAATTCACTCGCTAAAATATTTGTGTTTGGAGGCAGAAACGCGTTTGGTCTCACCCTCGCTTTTTGTTCTTCTAATCGCCTTGTTGAGACTTCAAAGTACACTGTAATTACAGCACCAGCTAGCTAGCTCTACGCTCACACAAAGACCGATTTAGTTAGGTTGGTGGATGGAAGAGAGTAGAGAACAGATGGGTGGTACCCAGCCTTCAGTAGCCCCAACCCCCTCCCCCGCTCCCCACTCCCTGGTCCAGGGAAAAGAAATTTTCTACCAGCTTATGTGTTTTGCTGCCATAGCGGATTCCCAACTAACTGACTCGCTCCTCCCACCCGCACATTTTTAGATTCCCTTTAATTATCTCCTCAGTGAGCATGTTTCTGCATGGATTAGCAGAACAGAACTTTTCATAGTTGATGTCTCCCTTTCATGTGTCACTTTGATGGAGCTGGGAAAATTCTTTTTCCCACCATTTTCTCCCCCTCCAACTTCCATCCCCCCCCTTCTTTGATGCTCTTTTGAGGAAAAAAACTGAATAAAAAACGTTGCACTAATATTAGCTGCTAAACCACCACCAAGATCTGCACCAAATATGTTTTTTTTCACTTGCTTCAAAAATTACATTCCAATAAATTAGAGACGAAATTCTTCATCACCACGTGAATACAGACCCCTCGACTCATCTAAATCTTGCCTTAGGAAAAATGTAATTTTATCATAATTTTTTGACAAATAATCAAATAGCGCGGAGATTATTTTCAACTCACAAAAGGAATATTTTTTTGTGAGTTTTGAGAAAATGTAAATATGAGCTTTTATTATATTATTTCCTTGTTGACACAATTGACTGTTCCTGTGAGCTGTGGGGGGGGGGGGGGGGGAGGGTAGTTTGCAACTCAAGAAAATTGCATTTCAAAAGAATAATTTAAATATTAAATAGTAAATAAATAAATATAAATACTTTAATGTCCAGCCATTTTGATTATACTTTGTCGAGACCATCTCTAAAGGGGTTTTAAAGAAATTCAAATGGTCAGAAAGGCTTTGACCCAGGGACGAAGTAATCAACATTGAATATCTATGAAGGGTGGCTAGACTCATACCTGAAGCGAATGCAAGATTTTGGATATTAATTCATTAACGCCCTTAGGACCGTACGTTCCTCTTTCAAAATAAGCACCATTGGTACTAGACTCGTAACATGCTCAATACGTGTCAATAGCCTCCACCTGATAACACCGAAACTCGTCAAGTTGGCGGCATCAGTCTACTGTGAGACACTCGTGAGTGCGGTTTGGTGCAATTTTTCAACAAATAATTATGACGCTAAGGGGTAAAAAGAGGAGTTTCTCACTTGGCCAGCGTCGATTAGCTTTATTTCCAAAGTTATCAGCCATGACCACTTCAACTAATGGGCTGGGGTAGTTTTGACATTTTCAAGTTATTAAGTGCAACAGAATTTTCGAGAAGTAAAGCGAAGCCAACGTCTTACAATAGATAGACCTAGAATCTGTCCATGTATTTTACCGTAATATTTCATAGGTCTTCTTCATAAAGGAAAATGTAAAGAAGATAAAATATGTAAAATAAGAAATGTTTAAAAAACTATGACCTTTTTGTGGAAACATTATGATACCTTTGTATGCGCGGGAACTCTCTTTAGGAAATCGATTCCAAATACACAAAGTGCAATATTATTAAGCGATTTCTACAAAACTTTTAGGATTTTAAGCCCTTTTTACCTAGCCTGCCACCAACCACAATGACACCAAGTCCTTCTCTACCGTCCATCAACGAATTCTTCGCCGATTTCTTCCGCTTCCTCTCAATGCCTCGAATGCTACCTCCGTCAATCCCGCCAAACTTCCCACCACTGCAGACCCCACCAAGGTGTCAGCCCACAAAGGAGATACCACTGGATTTAAGTCGTAAAACGGCAATTGCCTTCCCAGCCACATCTGGAAGTAACCAAAGAAAATCGAAGGTCCCTATTGGTGGTAGTAGAGCCAGTCCGCAGAATAATCACCATGGTCATCATCATCCTCACCATCATTATCATCACCATGGGTCTGGAAAGCAGCCCATTCCAAGGTGCTTTGAGTGTAAAAGGCTGTTTCCATCGTTATGGGATCTAAATACACACTTCCTAAGAGAGCATCAGTCGAGTCTGCAAAGGGAATTCACGCAGAACAGATCCTGGAAGACATGCTCATTGGAGAACATATCAGTGCAGGTAATTGGCAAATCTGATCCACAGTATCTTTTACGCTTTTAATAAAGTCATTTGTCAGTTTTTTTCCAATCGAACTTAAATCTACAAAAGCTGGAACCCCGATGTCAACGAATGCAAATTTTGCATATCAACGGAAGTTTTCGTTTAATTAGGTTAGAAATGCTGTTCGGCCTAACGAAATTCGTTTAATCTTTATTTATTTAAACAATACATTTGTATTTAAACAAATGTTAAAATTTTTAGGCTAAACCAACTTACAACCAACTAAATGGGTAGTAATTTTAGGTTTACTTAAATGGGGAAATAAAATTTGCGATTGGATTTCCACGAAAGCAGACGTTTACTTATGACTCTCAATCGATTGGGGGCAGGATCACAATATGATCTGTCTCTCCCTCCGTCTTCCTTATTACTCTGAAAAGTGTAACTGTTCCCGCTCAAGTAACATTCATTTGTGTAGTTGAGGTAAGCTAACTAAAGACGGATATCGATCTTGAAGTTTGAACAAACTTTCCTCAAATCTGCCTACAAACGCTATTTGTGTAGAGCATAATTTTTATCGCACCTAGGATTTCACTCATCTAGTAGTCATACTTTCGATAATGCTATTGTCATTAGGTTAAAGTACGAATATTGAATTTTAAACAGATTAGACTCCTTTTAGAAAATAAGATTGACCAAATACTTAAGACTACTTCACTTTACAATTAACGAATTCGGGGTGCACGATAGACTTACCTCCACGTGGTGCACTTGGGCATCGTACATTAATGCGGCAAAAAGTCTATTAACCGGCAGCTGACTTCTGACTTCAAACTATCATGACCCCACTGTATGTTATATTCGACTACTACAACAGTACTCATCTTATCTTTTCTCTACCTTTGTGACCGTCTGTCACTTTTGCATCCTTGAATCACTTTTCAGTTCCCCCTCCTCACTAATGATAGCTATCAAAACACCTGCCATTTGAAATAAAATAAAATAAACAATTAACAGATGTAATCACTGTTATTACCATTTAATTCTGAACATGGTTTTAGCAACTTCAAGCAACACTTCGAAAAGGGTCCGTGGAACGAACTGGCTATCCATGTCCTCACTGTGAATACTTCGCAAAGTGGCCAACGGAGCTTCAGAAGCATATAATGGTCCATTCCAAAGAGCGTCCACATCAATGTATTATCTGTGGTCTCACCTACAAGTGGAAATGGGATTTGGGTCGTCACTTTGACAAGTCACATCACCACGCAGTGAATCCTTACAAAAAGACGTGTTTCTCCATGAAAGTAACTAGACAGCAGCAGCAACAACAACAACAACAGAAGCTAACCAAACGGAATTTGGGGAAGAAGTGTGGACAAAAGGCTGTGCAAAATAATACTACAAATAGCCCACATCTTAATGGACAGGGCTTGGGCTCCACCATTCCACCGCTGCTTCTGTCCAATTTTCTTCCGCAATTGCCGAAATCTTATTTTGAACGATTTTATGGGTATTGAATGGTGAATATTTGCCTTGAGGCTGTAAATTGATATCGAAATATTATTTAAGAATATATATCTTAGCGAAAGGCGTTTCGCCAACAATATCGATAACTTTTAAAATACTTAAAAGCTGCCCTAATGTCTAACCGTTTGGGGATATTTGTAGCGGGTTGCTACGCTAGTAAAGCCTGACTGACTCAGAAATCTTTATGGCAGTTTCTCCAACATCTAGCTAGACTCCCAGAACTAGCTAAGCTATAGCCCAGCTATAAAGGAAACAGACGTGTAGCACAGAGCACGTTCATTCAGGACGTATATTGCGGATCAAGTGTACACGCAGGAGGCCTAATCATGATCAGGATGGGGGATTAGGTTAAACAGAGGTTGATGATTGGTCACTGCTTGTACGGTCGCTGCACACAGAGTTAAACGGCCGCACCCCCCAGTCCTGGCATGCAGGCATACGATGACGCACAGAGCGATAACGTGTCCCACATACTAATTTGTCATTATGCGGATAATATTTGTATCAACTTTTAATTTGGAATTCAAGCAAATCGCAAATTTGCATTTGAAATCTATATGCTGCAACAAAGAATTGAAATATTTAAAACTTCACCATGTCAAGACTATGTGTAAATTGCCCGAAATTGTGTAAGAGAAAAATAGGTAATTTGTACTTGCAGTACTTTCCATCAAATTCAAACACCCGGTAGTGAAGCAATGATTTATATGGATAATAATTTGCTCAATAATAGATAGTTGGTAAGTTGTGAACAACTCAAACGCAATAATTCAATGAAATATGGCACTTGGCTTTATTGCCAACATTTATTTTGGATCGCGAAATTCACTTTCCATGATTCGTTCACCAACTTGCAGTATAAACCTGTCAGCCATGTTCAGTGCTCATTAAACTGCATTTTTTTTCTCCATCGAGGAAAGTCATTATATTTCCTTTATGGTTTTGTCTATAATTATATATTATTAGTGAGGGTCTTCCACCTATTAACTTGAATGGCCAACCTTCTGGAGTGCATTCAAAATTTTCCTGTACGACCACTTTCGAGTCCCAATTGCAGGAGACTAACCTTGCCACACTCTTTAATTAGGTAATAAGGTAAGTAGAAGAGGTGGTGGAGAGGACTAGTGAAAGGGGGGAGGGTTGGCCAATTTCAGTATTGCTTGTTGGAGGTTGGAAGAAAACGCAACTTAATTGCCTATGTGGGGGGGGGGGTTGGGATGGTTGGGGGTGGGGAAGTGTATGAATGAAAACTTGACAGTCGCTGGTGTCCTGAAATGCTGAATACACAGGCCCTTGCTCAGCGTACTCTTTAATCTTTTTCTTAATATGTCAAAAGTAATTGCATTGGGTTAATTCTGGGGGGGGGGAATAAGTAGGGCTTTAAAATTGAACTATTTCATGGGAAATATGTAGCTACTAAACAACTTGAATTTAATAACATTTGAGAAGGTAAATCTATTTGCATTCTTGACATATATCCATTACTTGCTTATAGATATTTAGGAAGATATACCATATTATTGCTTTTTATGTAATGACACAGCATGTAGACCGTTCAGTTAACTCAAATTAGACCAAATGAAACGAAATTGAAAAGCGGCGTACTTTACTGAATCCTACTATGACAAACTTGTCTTAGCAAGCCTCAGCTGCTAGAAAAGGTGCAAGTTGGATGGGTTCAATAAGCAGTGAACATTGAGCACAAGAACTTGTTCGGGGGTAGGTACTACTTTCTGATAATTAACCTCTAAAATCACTTACCTCCATGTGGTGCACTCTTGGTAGCGTATACTCATACGACAACAAAGTCTATTTACTGGCAGTTGACTTATGACTTCAAACTACTATCATCCTACTTATGCCATATTCGACTATTTCCACAGTACTCACCTCACCTGTCATATTCGACTATTTCCACAGTACTCACCTCACCTTTTCTCTGCATTTGTGCCCATCTTGCTCTTTACATATGTGAATTACTCTTCTTCACCCCCCCCCTCTCCCTCTCGAATTTTTCTCACTTTTATGTTCCTCCCCTCTGTGAAGTTCGAAGTCAGCTAAAGGGGTAATGATGACTATCGAAACGCCTGCCATTTGATATAAGTAAATAAATGAAAACCTCTAAAATAAGACTATTTTTTGACATAGACAATTGCAGGTACTTAATTGAAAGTGAATAACCTGAAGTGTGCCGAATTCGAACAATGGAATTTCATTTAAGGTATTGATTTTCTCCTTACTTCTTTCAGTCCTTTGTCCTAGAAGCCGTTCTTCGACAATGTACTGTTTCACGTATTCAGGAGCTTAAAAGTCGAAAATCGTTTTTCTTTGACGGGAAAGCAAAAACCATTAAGGTAAAAAAGTCTATTAATATGACTTGGAAACTGCTTTTTATACACCCAAGGTAGCTACAAAGCTATGGCTAATCTGGTCGATTGGACTATTTACGGGGCACTCATTTACAGAGAATTAATGTGAGAATGGCAAATTTAGTCCAAAACATGAGCCAAATGATTGTTAATGTAATTTTAGTGAGTTATATGCTTTTATTAAGTAGGCGGCAATTCAAGTCATGAAAATGACACCTCAGGAGAATAAAAACACATTAATAAAATGAGAAAAATTGTATTTAAGATGTTCCGTTGGTATTCTTCGCATCAAATACTGCTGAACTATTGCGTAACTTCAGCGTTTGATCAATTTGTTATGATTAAAAAATGGTCTTTTCCTTTGTTTCAATAATTGTTAAAATGCAAAATCTAGTTAGTTAGACAAAGCCCCGATCTCTTCTGAGAGTCTTCCATGTATTTTCATATAAGTTCTATTAATTCCTTCGAAACTGTACACAATATAAAAAGCAAAAGCTCCCCCAAAGGAGGTTTGAATGGCTCTCAGAGAAGAAAACAAGACACCCCTATCTCCCCTTCAGGTTCCGCCCACAAAATTGCCTGGGTGGGACCAGGTTGTTGCAGCGGTCAAGCTGTCACCCAGTGAGACCAACTCCCTAAATGCCTAAAGATGGGGGGGCCGGGGGGGGGGAGGGGAGGGGAGTAGGAGGTAGAAACTAGTCTAGTTGCCTTGAGAGCTTTCAACTGCATGCACATCCTCTAAACCCCACCCGAATACAGATTACTTCTTTCTCTGTAAGGAACTTTGAAGTGGCAGAATGATTATACAGCTTCGCCTCATTTTCCTTTTTTCCCAAACAGACGTCATCCCCCTTTCCAGGTCTAATTACAGGCAGCCTATTCATTGGTTGCGGTCTGGAAGACCCTTTGAGGCTGCAGGTAGTTAAGTTGAGCAGGTAGATAAAGGAATGGTTTGAGTTAGGGGTAGGGTACCGAATAGGGCCTTTCTAGAATAGGGTGGTCAATTATGTATATATGATTGGTGAAAAAGGAAGATGTGTTCCTCCCCCCCTCCCCTCCCCTCCCCTCCCCCCCGCCCTTTGTTATGACAAGCAGGTGGAGTGGTACACACTTTTCTGGTCCTAAAGGTGGAAAGAAAGGTAATCGCGGGAGACGCCCAACTTGACAGTTCCTGCATGTATTTGAAGAAGAGAAAGTGAGTATCCTTGCTATCTAGGGAGATAATTGCGGCAGTTAGTTGGAGCAATTTGTGAATGATGATATGAACTTTTTAAGGAAAATTGAGGGAAAACTCAACTCAAACAGAAATTTATGACAAGCAGATATAAAAGTTTAGTTTTCTTGAAAGAGAATAGAATAAGTTTAAGAAAAAATTAATGCGCGATCATGGTAATTTCTGTTTGTCAACATTATATTTTACGTTGTAGGGCTAATGATTAATATCATAAAGCCTGCTATTTGAAATTATTATTATTATTTCAAATGGCATGCGTTTTGAATATTTATCATTGGCCATTTAGCTGATTTTGGACTTCGCAGAGGGAGGAAAGTCAAAGTGAGAAAAATTCGAGAGGGGGGAACGAAAGAGTGTTTGACAGATGAAGAAGCGACAGACAGACACAAAGGTAGAGAAAAGGTAAGATGAGTACTGTGAAAGTTGTGGAATAGGACATACAGTGGGATGCTGGTAGTTTGAAGTCAGAAGTCAGCTGCCGGTTAATAGACTTTTTGCCGTATGAGTATACGTTGCCCAAGCCATTTAATAGACTTTTTGCCGTATGAGTATACGTTGCCCAGGAAGCACCACGTGAAGGTAAGTCTATCGTACACCCCCCATTTGAAATTATAATATTTTGAGTTATAAAAAAAATTTGGTGAATCTCCTTGCGGTGGATCGATAGCAACTCTTTTTCTAATAAAGTTGTAGTTGAATTATCTCACACGTCATTTCAGTATTGGCGATGGAGAAAACGCTTCAAGTGGGTGAAATTTTGTAGCCGAATAGAAAGAAAGAATAATAACAGAACATCGAAAGTCTTATCTCATTAAAATCTTGATCCCCCAAGTTGATCAATATCCTCAATGGATATGGGTCCATACACATGAATATTTAAGCGACATATTTTAAACAGGAAAATGTGTGCTACCATACAAAGGGAAAAGCTTAAATCTGAAAAAAAACATTTGCGTTTTCGGTTTAAAAGTGGTTAACAAAGGTGTGCATTATGGTCAAGGAGCATTTTTGCTAAAACTAAAAAGGATTCCCGAGATTTGTCAAATAAATGGTTAAATAATCGTTATAATCTAATTTAGCGCATATAATTACAGCATTTCCTATAATGTGAAAATACGTAACCGAACTGCGGTATCAGACACTCAGTTGATCCCTCCCCCCCTCCCCCCCCCTAGCCACCAGCACCACATTTGTTGTTGTGATCCGTCCTCTCCAAGACGAAACTATTAGACTCACCTATAAATTAACCTGGAGGGATACGGCATAGTAGGAGATCTATAGCGCTATAATGGTCCAACATCTCCTGGATTATATTCCTATTTTCATCACCAAATGCTTACTCTACTTGAAGAGTTATATAATGCCATCTTTAATCAGCAGCTACAGTAGCCACTCATTTTTACCTTTTTTCTTTTCTGAAGAACCTTCCTCAACACCGTCTCACTTCCACTCCATCAATTGTGATGGAAACTGTACTATCCAAGGAAGGGTGAAGGATAAGCCGAATAGTTTTAACTCAGGCTCCAAAGTTTCTTCTCTTTTAATTGGTTAGATATGGGAAACCTCTCTCTCTACCTCTCTCACCATCTTGAGTTGATTTTCATCACGTTAGGATGCTAAATTGCGACATGAAAAACAAGATATTAATTACGCTCCCCCCCCTTATAATATGCATGGCAATATTCATTGTTTGTTAAGAAATTCTTTATTCCAATTTGTGCTTGGGCAAACCATGGAGATAACGTCACGGGTGATGACTACGGCTTCAAACTTTACTACAGAAAGAAAGTAATAAGAGCAAGAAAAGAATAACATTTTATCATTCATATCCTATACGAATGCGGCTTAAAGGCATGAGAATAAATAAGCATTTTATTGTATTAAGCAATTTGGCAAATACAGTTTTCAGTGAGTTTATTGAAGCATATTACTGATAAAAAATAAGTAGAAGCACTGTGACAAACGTGGCAGAGTAATATTTAACTGTAGACTGATGCCGTCGACGTGATGAGTATTGGTGTTATCGCACGAAGGCTATAGACGCATTGAACATGTTTCAAACGACAGTATCACCTTCTGTTACGAGTCTAGTACCAACGGAGAATGTTTTGAAAGAGGACCGTACGGTACCAAGGGTGTTAAGGAGTTAATACCCTTATTTCTCCAGATGTGGTAAAGTTATTTATATATACTACGACAACTGGAATCCACCTGAGTACGGTAGGTATTACCATGATTTACACAGACTGTCACTGCTCTTCCAACACTGCAAAAACAGTTTGGCATTAACTGGAGAACTGCAGTGGTGACTGAGCTTATTTCAACTGAAAGAAAGCGATTGTTGGAACACCCCGACATAGCAATTCAAGCCTTACCGTCATAGCCACTCCCATGCCCTAGCCTCTGCCAACATGCTTGCACTCATACGACATTTTGCACAGTCATTTTGAAGTTATCATGAACACTCTTTCATTTCCACCAGGTCTAAGAACCGAAAGTTGTAAGAAGCGTCTTTGGGGGTCCTTCTCAAATAACCAGCCACAAATACTAGTAAAACAATAATCTTATTGTAGTTATCTGGTGAAATGGGTAAACCAAACTAAGGTAATCTTACAGATGATCCGAGTGTTGCTAACACAAATCAGAAAAATAAGAGAACGAAATATTTCCAAATCATTTCAATGTATGTAAAAGATAAGGTGACCCACTTAATCAAAGAATAAACTGTATATACATCCAAATGAACACAAATAGTACAAAGAAAAGTGCCAAGGTAGTTTTTGATAGATTAGTAATTAAATCACAATCAAGATAAGGAAATTATTTAACTTTATCCAATTCAGGCGAACGGAAAAGATTTTGATTCCGCCAGTCGTTGGAAACATCGTCTAAATGGCTGTCAAAATCAGCAAACTTTTTCAAACCCGCCTCATTTAAGACAGGCTTCAATAGATCCGCAGCCGAATTTTCGATGGTAACTCTAAAGTAGGCATAAATATAAAAAACCAAAAATTACTTTGGTCCTTTCTGCCAAGAATTATCCTTCTTGCAAAATAGGGTAAAACACTCAGAAGAAAGCGAAGTAAGCCGATCATTGTTGAGCATAATTATATTCCCGAAACCAGTATTCTCCGCGATCTTATCACCAATCCGTGTAGCGATTTGATTGATACTAAACATAAACCCACATATAACAACCTACTCATTGCAGTTTGCCAGTTCGTTAGCTTGGTAATAACCACAAACTTTTAGATTCATAGTTTCACAGTAGCATTCGATTTGACTTAGAGCAATTTCAAGCATTGCAGCCAATGTAAGGCAGCCATGGAAAAGAGGAACGCAGTCTTGAATAATAAATTTGCCTTGATCATATTCTCCTAAAAGAACACCATTGATAGCAAGGTGTGGGTATTTAGAAGCATGAAGAAGGATCTTCGCAAAAGCAAGCGACTCCAAGTGCAAAGACGGCATATTTTCAAGGCAGTCACGAAGAAGACGAAAAGCATCATTAGTATCCTGTTGAAAGTATTCATCTAACATAAGTATTGCAGAATTTTTATTATTATAGTAAAATTCATATTATCTAATATAAACATCACAAAAAGTTTCGAGGAGAAACATCTAATACTGTAAAAATGAATGTCTACAGTAATACATTTTAATTCCCCCATTCGGTGAACATTTTTTAATTTATCATGCAAAATAAATTTATTTTAATTCTTGGAGTGATAAAGAAAAGACTTTATTCGGCATAAACTTTATTTCAACTGTTTAGTCTTAGTTTCGATATTGATAAAAAATGAAAAATGCTTCATGTGCGGGATAATCATTATCGCCCTACAGCGGAAAATATTATGACATAACAACAATTTCTGTTCGCATCTTGTTTTTAGTTTTTAAATACGTAACTTTGATATTCTCCACTCCATGAGATGAAACTATGTACTAATCCTACGCTATACCAACGATTCTTTATTTAGCGTAAAAATACACTACTTGTTATGAATATATCTGAAAATACAACATAAAGTAAGATTGATGTGATTTGGAGGCGTTAACATAAGGTCACAACGGTTAAATACCTTAGAATTAAAAGCAATTTTCGCGTGGTGATCTCTGCTAAATTTATATGTAAACGGTTAATCTAGACAAAGTCTCCTCTTCCGTAAAACAGATATCAGAGATATTCTTTCATTGGCAAGGCGACTTTAGGGAAGCTGCAAATGTGCCTTTTCTCATATTCCATCTCTCTCCGAATCGGACTGATTTGTAGTCTATTATTAATGTGTGAATTAATATACCAGCGTTAGACCTCCTAGCGGTACCACAGGTTGCAATTTATAACACATTAATTTTACTTATATGAAACTTACAGCCTTCCAATTGTTATAAAAGGCATTTTTATCTATACCACCAGATAGAAAACTTTAATTATTGATAATGTGGCAGGTTCTTTTCACTATGGAGAACCTTGATAAAAATTCTATATTAAAGTGCATTTAAAGTATCATGTCTCCAGAAAATCGTTTATGCTAATGTAAATATCAAATTACTAACACAAATTTGAAAGATGAGGAATTATGCCAAATAAATAAAGCGTTTGACACAGATAATTGTTTTAAATTTTAATCGTTTATGAATAATTATAAGTATGAATTGTTGATCATAATTCGCAGAAATTAAAGCTTTATATGAAATTTAAGTGAGCTATCAAGCAGACGATTATATAAAACGTTCGGGTACTATTATTTTTCTGCAATATAGGTTTCATTGCATTATTTAAGATATTTTCAGTTCTGAATTAAATCATAGGCTCACTTTGTATTCATGCTTTTTAATGGATGACGATGTCTCAAGAACCTGGGCTATTTCAAGTAAATGTTACTGGTAAATGACCCCTTTATAACATATTTCCACTAGTTAAACATGCAATCTTGAATTCTCAAAATGGTACGGGCATTCGTACTTTTGTGGAGGTATTTGTTGACTCCAAATCGGCGTTCAAAACCGATATATCTCCCAAATCATGGTCTCCCAGTTGGAATTGCTCAGTTTCCGCCATCGTTACTCCTTATTCTTCTATTCAATTTATTGTTACGCATGTTGTGAAATTTGGTCCCAATTCTCAACTCGGAGAATCCCAACTAGATGTTTATCCTATTTTGAAATTATACGACGGCAAAGGTAGTTGATTTACCTGTCATTTGTCTCATTTTCACTGTTTAGTCGCCTCTGTTGATCACACTCTTTCTATAATCAAGAAGGATGTGAGTCGTGGTTTCCTCGTTGTAAATTTTGGTCCTCTAGAAGTTGATCTTACAATGTTTCCCCCTCCGCCTGTATTCAGAGATCAGGTCGTTGCTTTAGCAACGGGCTCCATTGTTAGTCTTTTATTATGCAAATTTTTGCAAATCTCCCTTTAAACATTACGTTATATTTCAGGCTTCCTCTAATACGGACGGCTTACCACTATCTAGCTCACAGGAATTAAATTTGGCGTAAGTAAAAGCATTCTATTAATTTAGTAATTTTACAATTTCTTTTTATTTAATACTTCTCTTAACCTTTTTGTACCTTGTGGACATGGAGCTTTGTATTTGATGATTTTAATCAGTTAGATGAGGATTTAATGCTGTAATAGTTTGAATTTGTAGTTTAAAATTGGGTTATTGCTCCAATGCAGTTATTTAAACGTATGAATAATATTTTTTGAAAATATTTGTGATACCACTATAAAATAGTAGCAAGTTTTCTGTATATTATTTTTATCACTGACAAATTTTCTTCCAGATATTTCTGAATATGCATCACATTTTACTAAAAGGCTTTAAATATTTTTTATTGGCTTACCATTCTGCATTTCCTACTTTTGCAAACTAGATTTTTATTACTCCCTATAAATATATACGTTTCGCAATTGCCTCGTTTGCGTAATTAAAAGAATCTCGTTTTCCGTTTTGCTTTCCGTGATAGAAATGGTTTATTACTGCCAGATTTAGTTTATTCTGTGAATTTTAAGAGTTGGAATTGCACTACTCTGTACCCATTCTTTACAATGAAAGAAGCTCCAGTTTTACGAATGCATTTGCGTAGTCGAAACAAGAAACGAGTCCCAGGTGATGGAAAACTGAAGGTGAAGTATTCCTGACCTCCATTATTTTGTATTCATTACATGTTACGTGTTCGTGTTCTTTACTTATTGGCCATGTATTCGAATTTTTCGATTTCACTTGAATTGTATGCGTGAGATTATATCCACTCTATTAAGACTTGTTTACGCCTGATTTGATTTTACTTGACTGTGCTAGACTAGCAATGACCTTTTAACCACAGCACATTTCTACTACTCATGACTAATTTCTCAATCTATTTATCTCATTTTATTTCTTTTATCATCGCTAAAACAAAGTCGGAAATCTAGCTGCTCTAAACACGAGGGAAATTAAAAAGAGCAAGTAAGAAAAGATGAAAGCGGGGTTGTGAGAGGCTAGGATTAAATGGAGGTCACAACTGAATTCAGGCCATCGCTAGAGGCTTACTCATTTGATCCTTTAAATTTACTTGTCTTTTTTTTAAATTTAAATAAATACATAAATTTAATTGGAGTGTTTATCCCGTCCTACAGGTCAAATGCCTGGTTTTAGTTTCTAAATTTCTCATTAAGTTGATGCTCGCTATGTTCAGTTTGTATAATTGAGTTGTTGTTGAGTCTTGCCATTATTGCGTTTGTATCTCCTGATATTCAGGTGTTATTCGGTAAAAGCAGAGGCATAGGTTTCTTTGTGAGCAGAATAGAGTCCACTAAAACACGAATCTTCATTTCCTTAGTTTGTGGTACTAAATGCCCATGTAGTTATAAATGGATTCTCTCTCTCTCCCTCCCTCCGTTTATTTGAATTACTTTCAAACGAGCATCAATTAAGAGGTGCACGTCTGCTGCTCAGTCTCTTATCCACTATTCACTATTTCAGCATTTTAGTATTAATATTTATTTTACACATGGTAATAAACGGTTTGTAATTTCTTTTTACTGGAAGCAAGTGAAATTGGTTTACAGAAAGTCTTATAATTTGTAAAAAAATCGGTGTTTATTGATCGATTTTCGATCGATACTGATCAGTCTTGCCGTTGTAATTGGTTTTTTTCCCAATGGTTGGGGCAGGCAATGTGACCTTACATGATATTCAGCTGCTAATCCAAACATAACCGAGAGGTGATGTGTAAAAACTCCAAGTTAACAGTGCTCCAAAGCTGCATTCACTGAATGCAAATTTTACTTTTGCAATGTTGTACTTCTCATTATGTTTAGTAAAGGAAATGCTCCCCAATTTCATTCTAGATAGGCTAACCTCAATTTATTTCGTTTTAATTTCACAAATCAATAATTATGTGCAAATGCAAGTGGATATACCAATATGCAAGTATTAATAAAATGTTTCGGGAGTCGTCTTAAATTCACTGTCATTCAGTGCAAGCAACTACGGAGAGAGTGTCTGGATTGCACGTTGCGTTTTTAATGTTCGATTGTGTATGGGGACACTGCAAGGTGGTAATGGTTTGCGAATTGGGGGGGAGGGGCTCTATCCTAATTCGGAGTCAATCGTTTGTTATTGAATTGGGTACACATTTTTTACGGCTCATTAGCCAATTAGTTTTCCTTATTCTTCTAAACCTAATATTTCCTCTATACCTTCGCTGTTAGTGTCCAATATGTCGGTATTTTAAATTAAATCTCTTCTTTATGACTGGGAAAAGATTGTTGATACGTTTTATCCTCTAATTCCCTTTGATTTTGAAGGAGATGTCTCCACTCCAACTCAGTTCGATAAATTGATTGGCGTTATCTGAGATTGAACGTTTCTTTGCCTTCCTTAATGATCGATATTCTGACCAGAGCTATTGATTACGTCCCAGTTTCGGGAATAATACCTATCAATGTCATTCTGAACACCACTACTCTAATACATATTGTTTTAAATAACATTACAAAAATGCAGCTTGGATTTCATGAATGTTTTCTGTTTTAATTTATAATCGTTTTGGTAGAGCAATCTCAGATGCGGTACTAATTAAAATGAGGAATTTTAAATATTTCGTTCACATTTTAGGGTAAATAGAATGCGTTAGGTAAATATCTGATCCTTTGAGTGGTATTTGACTTTCGCATTAATGGACTTTGTTTCCAATTTGAATTGTGCCCATTAGCTGTTGCTCACAATTTTTCAAGCATACTGGGAGATCTAGGGCAAAACTTGCATTTTAAATGGAAAACTTTGACGACCTTTACACTTTAATAAAATCGTTCTTTATGAAAACGAGTTGTCACATATATTACATACGCTCTTTTGGTTGATTGTGCGCAAAATCAGGTTAATCTATTCACCATTGGAACCAATCTTCGATATCGAAATGGCATAGCTTTACATTAAGAGGCTGTCCTATTGTTATTTTAAGGAATGTGAAGCAATCTTTTATCAATGTCCCCAATTCAGTACCAGTGAATATGCCATGTGGGCCATTTTTTTCCATTTCATCCGCATCCAAATGTTGTCAATGCAACAGGGTTAGGAGAGTGAACTACAATGTGGTTCCAGATGAATAAGTATAGTTATTGACCGATTTGCCTTGGTACATTCTAACTTTATTGAGAAAATTGAACGCCTCAATTATAATTTAATTAGACCCTTGGCATTCGTTTTTTTATTTTATCTATTACGGCTAATTCCTTAAGGGATATTGGGATATTTCGTGTTTTTAGGGTAAAATTTGCGTAATAGCCATGGGCATGCCTTGGATCTTTACTAGTCTTTTGATAAAATTTCTTTTTTACTTAAGGCTTAATTAAGCCCTTCTTTGTCTCGTCCACTTGCGTTTTTCTCACGAGTGAATGCCGTTTATACAAATGTCAACTGCTCAGTTTTTCCGTCATGCAATGTTCTATCATGCTTTCTACTACTAACTCAGAGCAGTAAATTCGATTAAACTTCGAAATGTAAAAAAATTGCATTCTGGCTCGTTTTTAAAACAGATAAAATATTTGGGAAAAGCTTTGAGAGATTTGGAGTTTCTACTTTCTCAAGTCGACTTTCAATGATATCGGAACTTTTCCTTTCCAAGTACGGATTGATTTCTTCTAGTTTGAATTCATTTATCTATTGCTTATTTCTATTTTACCATGGTGACTTTTTAACATGATCTTATCCTCAGCCTCCTTTTTGAGAGCTGTAATTTCTTTATCATTGGAGTCTCATTGGCCATAGTGCTCATCCTCTATGTCAGAAGGTGGCATGAATGATAAGTGGGCCATGTTCCTCAGTTGGAATAGTCATGTTTTGCATTCATTTCTCAACCTCTTAAAGTGAAACTTACGGAGGAATTTGATTGGTTAAGGTTGTTTGATCTTTACCTCTTATCTCCATTTGTCTTTTTAACGGTTTTATGAGCGATGTTGTTGAAGAGAAGGTAGTTTCCAATCACTAGGAGGGTATTGATCAGTCAATCCGGTTGCATTCCACTTGAAAGTAAAACCTTTCACCCTATTGTGGCATTTGGTGTACCTTTCTGTTAAAAATTTGTAACTATTTTGGCAGTCATTTTGATAATTAACAATATTTTATAGCTTACCTAAGTTTCAATAAATGAAATCAAAGCTTTTTTCACCTGATACAATACTTATAAAGTGTAAAAAGCCTTATTAGATATTTTTTACATCTATATATATAAACTAACAGAACTATTTTTGCCTCTTAATCTAGTTAATTTAATTTAGGCCATGCTGGCAAGGTGTATAAGCAATTTTGTATGTGCTTATGTAAGCGTATGAACCTTTATAAGTGCTTCTCCTGGAGTAAATTCCACAGATTAAAGTCGATTTATTTGTGGTTGATTACTTTTACAATTATTGCTACTGCTCATGGCAATGTCCATAAAAAGCTATTACCAAGAAACAATTTGAACGCAGGAAATAACAAACTTGCTAAAAATGTTATGAAGCGAAGTAGGAGTTGACTCTAAGTTCATTTAATTAGGAGAAATAAGGGTTTTTATTATTATTATTATTCATGTTCTGGAAGCATTGGCGGTGTCCATAATTACGTTGGCATAGTTCAATCTCTGCTGCCTCCCATATTCAGATTTCATGATTTGACACCCAGTGGATCGAAGACGACTATATCCACAAAATTCATTTCATTCGACTAGCGGATTTTCTTTCGTAGTTGGTTATTTCATTTTGATTCATTTAGCATCTACTGACAATCAACGATCAGTAGGTGAGATTCTGTCCTCTACATTTACTTATTTGTTTGCCTTGTTTTCCCAAACTGATACACATTTCACACCCTCTTTGTTCCTCATACAACTCCTCCCCTTTCCTACTAGCCCACTTTCAACTCACTCATTAGGGCGGGGGTGGGAGATGGGAGCGGAAGTTCTTTTCTGATGCATGTGTTTTCGCTATATTCTCTGTCCCTTTCCTGCAGTGTTTGCTTGAAAGTTAACTTTCTCGGTAGTTTAGTAGTATTTTCGTAAAGGGTACTCACAATGGACTAAAAATTGTACCATCGATCTTTCAATCGCCACGATATGGGGGCAGGTAACTTCTGGGGAGGTACCTATCGTTTAATAATATTATATTGTGATTGAGTGTATTGTTGGTCAAGTCGCTATCATGACATTATATGTACCATACTGCTTATATTTTTATAAGTAACAACTTATTTATTTTTACAGAAATGACCAAGCCTCCACATCTCAATCCATCGTAGAGACAGTTGGTCCTCGGCGAGGCAGAAATCACCCTTCCAATGCACCTTCTTCCTCCACAACGGCAGTTACTGTGGGTTCCAGTTTTTGGGCGGAACTCCTTCGAGCCCTTTTCGACCCCTCACCTCCTTTCACTCCCGAAACTACTCCTCGAAGGTGGGGTTCTGCTGCCCAGCCAAATCTCCGTCTCCCACGATCTGATTGGACTGATGCAGCTGTGGTGCACTCCAATAGGCTCAATGCTCCTAAATTCTCAGAAGATTCGCCGTTGCCTGATGGATGGGGTAGGTAGACACTTTGGTACATATCTTACGGCCATTTGAATTATGCAAGATCTTTTGCCTTTAGGAAGTCGCGATTCCATACATAATTTAGTACTTCGTTCGCTCAATAGGCCGGTAATTAAAAGAGGAGTTTGATGGAAGTTATTTGGAAGGAACCGCGACCAATTTACTGGCAACTCAGAATAAAACCACTGAAACTAAATAAGACTATCTCTCTGATAAAACCATAGTTGTTGCGCTCTCATTTTGTTGAGATTTTCAACTGAAATTCTACAATTATTGACCTAACAGGAGGTGAATGTATGGCGTTTGGGGTACATTGAAGTCCCAAGAGATAACATAAAAAGGATCTAATAATAACAAAATTTAATTCATTTGGTATAAGTTATAGTGTTGTCAAAGAGCTATACTCAAAACAATCGTCATTTGCGCCCCAATTCGGAATCGAGAGTATGTTGGGGGAGCATTGAGCTGGCTCTGCAATCTTTTTATTTTGTGATTGAACTGAATTATAATGTGGTACTTGCTATTCACTTTTTGCAGTCATTCAATCTCTTTCACCAGAAATTTGAAAGGTTGCATAGTGTGCGCGAAAGGACCAATTATACGTCCTTGTTATAGGTTGCATTGTGCAGTAAATAGGATCATTTACAAAGTTTGCATCTGATACTAATTTGATCGGCAAGATATTTTATTCTGAGGGGTTTTTAAAAAATGGCAATTGTAAGCTATAGATAAGGCTAAATTTTAATTTTGTTAAAATGCGCAACATTAGGCACTTAAAAATGGCATGGGTACTTTTTATTGTGATATGGAAGGGGGGGGGGTATTGGGTATTGTATGATCGATAGTCTAGTAATTATAATGCCGGAAATGGGTGGGAATCAGTCATTAAAGCCATGGAAGCGGAGGCAAGGCCAGGTTAATACGCGATGCCAGAGGAACTGGGTGTGGTAAGTCATTTTGTCCACCAAGTAGTCATCAATCACTTGGGAGGAAAGGGAAAGAGTAAGAAATTGGAATATCAGCCCTTCGTAGGTCGATTTGAATCCGTTTCAATTCACTACATGGGGAAATTGGATTTTTGTAATAGAAGTACTTTTAATTTATAAATCTGGGCTTTTTATCTTTGCTTCGAACTCTAACATGATAATAAATCTGCGGTTTTAGCATATTTTATGCCTTCAAATCTTCCACTCTGAGAATGTCCAATAAGATATTATCAGTGCATTTGAGCAAAGTTCACCGATTTTATCCCTCGGGAGCAGTTACAGATCTTTCACCTTTTATCTTGCTGGGTTTGTTCACCCGCGACGAGTTGCTCTCAAGTTTTGTCCTTTTCGTTTATCTTTTAGAGCGTCGAGTAGATCCAGAAAGCGGTCGCAAGTACTTTGTCAATCACAAGAACTGCACAACTCAATGGGAGGATCCACGGGAAAGAGGCATGGATGAAAGTCGTCCTCTGCCACCCGGCTGGGAGAAACGATATACAGCAGCCGGTCAACGTTTCTTCATTGATCACAACAGTCGAACTACCACCTTCATTGATCCTCGAACTGGCCAACATGCTGGGTATGTAGTGTTTCGATACCATGCTACTTAAATCCACATTAGTAGAAACGTCTGAATTGCGTATTATTTTAAGTGCCATCCTACCCAAATCGTTGTTCTTAATAATTCATGGAGGTGCTTTGTTAACTAGGCTCAAAATTGCTTTCTTGACATGTGGTATCTTGGTATCTTAGCAAAAATTTGGCTTTGAGGGACTATTTTTGCTCCTTTTAAGAAAGTTGACATAGGAGAGATGGGCTTATCCATGATGCTTGTATTTCATCATCGACATTAATTATTACTGACTGTTTCAGGCGCTAAGATGACACATTCTGGTATTTTAAGCTAGGCTCTTCAAGAGACCAAAGACAACAAGCTTTTTCAAACAGGGAGGACTTAGCGTTTTCTTGTCTCAGTCTACGAAAATATTTCATTTTACCTGATTACCTGCAAACACCTCAACCCATTCTTATAATTTCCCTACGCTTCGTGGTTTGGATAGTAAATGATTTCCAAGGGGTGTTCAAAGTTACCACCCTCTAGTTGGGGCAAGGAGGTAGCAAACATATTAACTTCAATATTCTTAATGAGACATGTGGACATTTGATATCGAATTATCTTTTCTCCTTTAAGTGCTCAGTTTGAACTTCTAAACATTCTTTCATGTCGGTACTAGATCTGCTAACAAGAATTTGACGATCCGTCTCTTAGTTTGTATGTTTTTTTCAGCTAAAGCTTCACTTTCTTTGAGATCTAATGTGCACAGGTAAAGCGTATTTAAGCATTTTCAATTGAGTTAACTCTTTACTCCACCAAAATTGGCAGATTTGCGACAGTGCTTCTTAAACCCCCTTTTTTATTTGTGCAACCGTTTGCTCACTTGGTCGCTATAGTGTTAATTTCTTGCGTGCATCATAAACTTTCCCAATCTACGCAATTACGATCACTGCTCTCACTCTCTCTCCCTCTCTAATGTTGTCGTGATATAAACTTAATTCGATTTAAAAACTTACTTCCATCCACTTAGTGGGTGAAAATATGAGCAGCCTATGCCAATTTGGAGCTCTTCAAACTTAAAGAGAGGGTGTGTGTGTGTGTGTGTGGCCAATTTATGGGTGTATGCCTTTTTTTGTCACCACTATCGGATTTGAACCAGTTTCATGAAATGCAAGTGAATGCTCTTCTTCCAGTCAGAAAAGGACCTTATGCAATTTTCGAGACAATTGTCTCCAAAGCTAAGCTCAAATCTATCTACTCATTCTTACCTATCTTAATTAAAATCTGGGACAGTACAGTATGCCTAGAATGATTCATAGGTCTGCTTGTGTGAAGATAAAGTGGTAGACATGTAGAAAGTCTAAACGTGTTGCGACAACTAGAAATAGGTTTACTTCATGTGACTACTGCGTTTTCTAAACATTTACAGGTCCTTGGGTACACTGGGAGTTCCCGTGCAATATGAACGAAATTTTCGAGCAAAGCTGGCCTATTTCCGTGCTCAATGCACCAATCATCTTCTCAATGGTCATGCCAAACTTACCATCTCACGGGATGGTCTCCTTGAAGAGTCATTCCAACAGGTACGTACTAATTGATTGATCGGCTTTCTCTTATCGGCTAACGATATCCCATGGTTGATGCGACTGAGCTAATCTTATCTGTACTGTGTCAACTTGACTAAATATTTAAGTGTATTAACGCTAACCTATTTGCTTTTCTTGTGTAGATTCAACGATTACCGGTTTCGGATCTGCGCAAGAGATTGTGTATAACATTCCTGGGTGAAGAGGGTTTGGATTACGGTGGGATTGCCAGAGAATGGTTTCTACGTGTTTCCCGAGATTTCTTCAACCCCATGTTTGGACTGTTTGAATATACCGGCGCCCATTATTCCCTTCAGATCAATCCCGCTTCTGATGTTGCTAATGTAGCTCATTTAGAGTACTTCCACTTTATCGGACGCGTCATTGGCATGGTAAGCTTGATTATTTCGGACGTTGAAGTAGTATGCAAGAATTTATGATGATCATTTTGCTTCACCAGGCCCTATTCCATGGTCGCTGTATAGATGGTGGCTTCACTCTGGCCTTTTACAAATTGATACTTGGACGAAAGGCGTGTTTGCAGGATCTTGAGCTGGTGGATCACGACTTCTACCAGTCTCTTACATTTATCAGGCATGTAATTTGTTAATAGTTTAATTATTTGAAGCCATTGTTTGCACTTACACCTGTCCTTCTATGTCGATTTATTCACATTAGCTGATCAAGCTTTCATGCGCTTTCACGGCATTGAAACGTACCACTTGAAATGGCTCTCATGCTTCTTGTTATGGCAAATGAAGTCATTTTATTGGCTGCTTCTGCATTTACTTGCATCAAACTTATTTCTCATTGCTTGTGAATCGTATGTATTCCCCTTTTTATCCTCCTCTTTCTCCTCCTCCTCCTCCCCCCCAATGCAGGATAATTGCGTGAAGGAGGTCACGATTATAACTACCGAATAATTGAATTTTCAATCGAATTTACTTGAAACATTGTTTTTAATTAAGCATTTATCTCCGATGTTTCTTCAAATTTGCTCGTAATTGTGCCTTTGGACTTTTGGCTTCCGACTTCGAATGTTTGTTTTTTTTCTTGTGGTTACAGTGTGTGTGTGTGTGTGTGTGTGTGTGTGTGTATGTGTGTATTTGCACTCCAGCACATTTCTTGATCATTTAAAACAGGAGTTCTATATGAGCAGTTCCTCTTCATTCATTATGCTAATGTTATTACATGAGGTTGCCGAACAGTTTGTTCTTAGGTCAACTATGGAATCATTTTAAGTTACTTTGACGCGTTATTTTGCCATAATTGATATTTTGTTTTGGGTTAAACGTTTGGCTGAAATATCGTTTTCCCTACTTCTGCGTTAGTGGGAATTGAGGACCTACGGGAGCCTTTGCTTTAAGAAGTGTCCATGAATCGAAATCGTTTGAGTGTATTCTATTAACTAATTGGTAAAAAAATTCCACCAGAAATCAAGTGATTTTTATTGGCTCTTAACATGTTCTTCCTTTAACGCTTTCCCAGGGACAATGACGTGGATGCATCAGACTTAGAGTTATACTTCAGTGGCAACTACCGTAAGTTTGATTCCCTGCAGGAAGATGAATTGAAGCCCGGAGGCAAGGATATCAAAGTCACCGAGGCAAACAAAATGGAATATCTGAAGTAAGTTAATTTTATGCTTTCAAACCACTTTTTTCGCTTAATTACCGACGACCTTGTCGAAGGAGGATTTTTCCGATGACCTTGAGCCCTAAATCTAATGGACCTTTCTTGATTAGGCAATTTTCAGGTTGGCTGCCTCGTGCTTTTTACATTTGTGCCTTTTCTTAACCTTGGGGCATGATTCCTTTCCACAGTGTTAAGAATTGATTATTGGATAAATTGAGCGGACGATCATTTCGCCTTAATGGGCTCATCGCTTTGAATGTAGGCTCTATCTGCTGCTTCTGGATACTTGAAAATTCTAATTTCAAACCGTAAACACTTGAATAGTTAGTCGCACTAAATAAGGATTCATTTGCATAGAGAGTTAGCTTCAAAATACACGTTTATCACCATATTTCAAAATCTACCCCTCTCTTTTGCATTCGTTCGACTTTTTGTTGTTCGAGTCTACCCTATCTAAATGGCGTTTTGTGATTGAGGCTAAAATCATTAGTTAATGCCAGCCTAGCTGTATTTAATATTTGAAATGCCTTTGTATTTAAGTGACAGCCAGGGAATTAAATGACCATTCTACTAACTTAAATAATAAATAACAATTCTGCAGTTCCGTTCTTCTCCGTGTGAGCCCTTAGGCGGTTATCGATGCCGCCAACCTGTTTGATTGAGTGGTCTTGGCTATTTTAGATATTGTCTTGTCCTGGGCATATAAATAATTTTAAATGATGTGGTACGCACTGGACACTCAGATGGTGGAGGGGAATTTCGTTATACCCTATTAAACTCTTCTCTGGTGCCAGTTGTTTTGGGTGAATCAGGCTAGGATGGACTATGAAAGCACTGGAAAGATCTACCCATCCTTAGCTCAATAATGTTCTATACTGCACTTTCTTTCAAATAGTTTGAAAATCAGCTTTTGTATCAGTCGAGCTGTAATCCCATTTTATGCCCAGATATCCTTGAAAGCAATTCCTTTCCTATCTCAAACATCTCTTATAACTTGCCTAATGATGATTAGCATTAAAGTGGCTATGCGGGAATCTGAGAGGTAATTGAAAATAGCGACGTAAAAACTAATTAGCAGCATTTGTCCATCGATAATGTTGTTAGTTGACTAATTGGGAGTGACATCGAATCATCAATTATTTAGAGTTGCAACTGCAAGGTTATATGTTCTGTTGGAGTTCTGCTCATTTTATAAACCTAAGTTAAGTTTGGGTAAAGTTTTTTTAGAGGCACGCTCTTCCTTCTTTTTTCCACACAAACTCTAATTCTGGAGTCACTCGAGTTCTAAGGTATTTCTCAGAAAAGTAATTTGTTTTAAGTGACCTGAAAGCCAATAGACCTTGATTGAGATACCCCTTCTTCGTGGTCCATTAATCCTTTACTTAATTCTCTCCTAAATAGGCAAATAAATGTATTCATTTTGTCAAGGTGATAAGAAGGTGCTTTTCGCGCTATTAGCGTATCGATTAATGTATTTGTCTAGGGGGGGGGGGGGGGGGGTCACTTGTTTAGGGTTCATAACATAACAGTTCACATCCATTGGTTATAATTAGTAGCCACATTGATTACGTCTACTTAATAAATGTGTGGGCGCTTCATTATTATCCGAGTTTCTCACCAACTTTGAAGTTATCCACAATGGGCATTGGCCAACTCGCGCCTTTTTTCCTCAGTGGCACAATAGTTCACTCTTGGATTAATGTCCTGTTTTATCTTTGTTTGATTAGAAAGGTTTTAGAAAATACTTTCTCTTTACCAGGGTCAAGCGCTGTGGGCACTCCCTCTTATGGCATTTGGGAAGTTGCACATCTCTATTCCTTAGAGATATTCTTAGCGAAAGTGTATTCCAAGACAGCCATCGTGAGAAACTTCTCATATGAAATGTTGCGAGATATTCACACAATTAATCTTCCACTCTAATTTCATCATATTTGTACTCTTCATTTGCTAGGTTGATGGTCGAGTGGCGTCTGAATCGTGGTGTTACGGAGCAGACAGAAGCCTTCCTAAAGGGTCTCTTCGAAGTTGTTGAACCCTCCTGGCTGCAAGTGTTTGACGAAAGAGAACTTGAGGTCAGTTGCCAATTCGAGACTATTTTTGTGAAGATATTTTGCCACATGTCCCAATTACCTCTAACAAACCTCTTGATCTTGATACAGCACGCCTCACTCATTGTCAGCGAGAGTGACACCCTTTTGAGAAAAGTGAAATTGCAATGTTTAATTAACTCTCTTTAAGTGCAGAAGTGTTATTTAATCCCTAATCGGAATGTCTTAATGGTTCATTTTGGATATAAAGGAGTGGTTTACTTATTGCAGCTAACATCGTTGTACTCTTTATTCAGAGTGGAAGTTGTCATTTTCTTTGTTTCTCCTTTGGGGTTTGACTTTTCGTATTTGCTGATGAATAATTTAGAAACACTTCGACCACTTGATCGGCTAGTTAAGATTTACATTCGATGATCTAAGTCCAAATTTGACTAAGTACAAGTTAAGCACCCAAGCCAATTCTTAGCCAAAATCTTTGATTTGGGGCTCACTGTTTTTATTCTTCATCAAAGCAAGAAGTGACTGAAACCCCATGGCGAGTTAGTTATTTAGCACCCCACAGCTATTACTCATGAGCCCCGAGATCGGGAGGGGGAGTGGAGGGGGGAGATTAATAATTATTTGTGGAAATATAGCTGTAAATGCAAAGAATCAGGAGTGAAAGTCTGGTTCGAAGTCTCTCCAATTTCATCTCGGAAGCTTTTTTTTATCCGTACAGGTGACACCTCGGATCATTATTTTTGCCGAATTAAGCGGATACTTAATCCTTCTTCACCTTTTTTTCTTGATCGAATTCACTTTCTACGGATTGTGATATAACATTGAAATTGGCTAGGTTATTCATAGAAAGGATTCAAAGCGGTTTCTGGATGGTTCATATGCCCGTACATTCAAAAGCACAGTCATTATTGTTTACTTGAGCACTTCTACTTCAGTGGATGAATCTCCGCGTTTAGAGACTCATGCACGTAGATTCTCACATTCACTGTTGCTGATAAGCATTTATTACCAAAAAAATCTAAATAGGGGAATGGGGGCTTGAGCGCGTATATAAATATATATTGCGAGAAGACTTTCGACCAAATCTTATGTTGGTGGGAAAAAGCGATAGCAATACGGTTTTACAACCTCTACAACTTCCTCGCCTTCCCTATCTCCCTTCGCAATCTCCACTTTTCCATTTAGAGACACCGCCTTGTCTTCTCACGCAATACCTCCCCATTCCAGATGTGAATTTTGGGATTTCTCTATGTGCGCTTATTTTATGTCGAAAATGATGTGAATATCGCATATTATATCTGCAGTTGTAAATTAAAACAATGTCGCTATTGATATATATATATATATATATATATATATACAAGAGTACGTAGCGAGATAACCTTAAGTGTGTCCGTATAAAATGCATATAGTTACTGGAGTTGTTACGACCTGGAAGGAGGAAAGAGGAGGAACTGCGCCAATGCCTTGATTTAATTGAGCGTTGAGATAATTGCGCGTGGCAGGGCTTAACCCGGTTGCAAGTATTATTGATGAGAAGTGATAAAATAATTGGCTGCGAAATGAAATGGAGGGGGGGGGGGGGGGGGGGGGGGGGGNGGGGGGGAGATTGAGAGTGGAGTAGGAAATGAAAATTCAGCAAATTTTTTCCCCTTCTTTGCACCTCTCCACACTTGGTTTACTTGTTTGGACAATACCTTTTTTAATATAGCAAAGATTGGACTTAATAATTTGATCTCCAATCTCCTGGGTAAATTCGCTCCCACACTTGCATCACTTATTAATGGTTTGACTTAATTGAGCTGAGTGTCAAAATAGCATCGAATTCGAAAGGTCTTTTTGATCGATTTTTCCTATTTTGACGACTTCTGACGTTGTGGTCCCTTCATTTGTTCTCTGTCCTTTTGGAGAAATTTAAATTCACCCATTCCATTCACAATGAACGTTAACTACATAATATTATTGCTTATTGCTCTCAATTCTTAACACCTTCACTGTTTCTGGATGTCAAATGTTTATTCATTTTCACTCATCTAAATATTGTATCTTCTCTTCCGACTTAGTTACTACTGTCGGGAATGCCCGAATTGGATGTGGAAGACTGGCGAGCAAACACCGTCTATCGAAAGTACAGTCCTTCCTCTAAGCAAGTTGTCTGGTTCTGGCAGGTTCGTTTAAATTTTCCATTCCACTTTTTGTTACGACATCTAATCACCTATTATTATTATTGTTATTATATTTAGTTTGTTAGAAGCCTGGACAAAGAGAAACGAGCTCGCCTGTTGCAGTTCATAACTGGAACTTGCCATCTTCCTTTGGGAGGCTTCGGTGAACTCATGGGTAAGTTTTTTTACGATCATGCTACCTTGCACAAATCATTTTACTCTCGATAGGCACAATTTTTAAGAATGAGTGTATTCATCAAACCAAGTAAAATGAATATCTCAAATACTAAATACGCATTATTGATTTCCCTATACCATAGGTAAGCGATTGCCTCAAGTTTCAATATTGGCTCCGGTCTTGTTAATATAGCTTACAACTTAGGGTAGGGTCGTGCCAGTTTTCCCTCAGGCAATTAACGGGATGTCGGCACCTTATTCTTCTCTTGAAGATATTCCAAACGCGACGGGGATTCGTTTTTGAATTGATGCATTTCTTCTATTCCTTTGCCTAAAATATTGATGAGAATGAAACCTAGAATGGTGATCCGGCTCTTTCTGTCGCAATTTCACTACGATTCATGGAATGTGCTAGACTTTATTATCACAGAAAATGGATAATTTGATGCCTCCTTGATATGATTTTGACTAGGAGGCTGAGAGAACCTGTTGTTGAAGTCCACAGATCATTAAGCCCAGATGACATCGTTAGCGTAACCAGATATAGACCAGTGCACAAGAGTAATAAACAATGATAAATTATTTACAATGTTATTGCCGCCATCATTTGTCTTCTCGCATTTCAGGGAGCAACGGACGACAGTTATTCTGCATCGAGCGAACCGGGACGGAAGCATGGCTGCCAAGAAGTCACACCTGCTTTAATCGACTCGATTTGCCTCCGTACACTTCCTTTGAACAGCTTCGTGAGAAACTTCTTCTTGCCATTGAAGAGACCGAGGGCTTTGGTCAGGAATGAGTTAGTGTCTTCTCGAATTCTCTTCTTCTCCTTCAACATGACATTGCGCAGCGTGCCTGTTGTTTGTTGTTTTTTTCGCCTTATTTCTCCCTCCCCCTACCCCCCCACCCCCCCACTCTTCACACCTCTTTCCCACTCGACCTTATATACCCGCTCTATTCCATGAAGATGAATTATGTGATCTACGGCCAAATAGCTGATCTATCCGCCGCCGCCCTCCCCTTCTTTATATATATATATAGGTACTGTATATCTTGTTTGCAATTTTTATTTTTCCCTGAGGGGAGTGAAAGCTGCTTTTCGAAGGAGGTAAGATGGGTTTTGGGGGTTGGTTGTTTATGCATTGGGGGGGGGGGGGGGGGGGTGAACTGAGCAGCGTATAAGTCCATTAGGTTCTATGTCGTTGGTCCACATTCAGTGGTGTGGGTGATTGACCACGTCGTTAAAATTTATTCAACAGTTGCTGTTTCTAAAAGCAGATGCTTCAAGTCATTATTTTTTAACCAAACCAAATTAGCATTAATTCTCAATTAGATTCTTGTAAATTTCTTTCATTACGGTATTATTTACAATGTTGATTTGGCCCCTGTGTGTTAGGCTGCAATTCTTAAGATGGGAGCAATTTACCGTTACATCATTCTTCGTTTATTATAGGATAGAACATTTGCATTAAAAGACCGACTATGTGCGCCTTAAAGCCTAAAAGCGGGTTGTAATGTAGTGGATCCGGATAGGTCTTTAATAACGTGTGGAAATCAATAGTGATTTAAAAGCACAGTGATAATTATTGAGTCGGACGAAGCAATGCCAAGCAAAGAACAGAAAAAAAGGTGTCAAGAGAGCTGAAGCAGCCACGTGACACTTACGATTCAACGTGCTGTAGTGTTTTTTTTTCGAAGAGCAAGTGGGAATGTGAAAAGGATCTATACTTTCCTTGAGTCTATTTTGGATAGACAGGATATATTGAGCGAAATGAATATGGAATATTTCCAATAGAGTGGAAAATTCTCCCTCAGTAAAAATATTTCATTGAATGAAATTGGGAAAAAAATAACAAATACAGAGCCTCTCTTTGATAGCATTGCTTTAGACGCCTCTCTAATAATAGCCTCTAATCGAGGCCTTTTTCATTATTCTTCCCTCTTTTCGCCCACATCAAAGGTCCTCTCTTTTAGCAACAAGATAAACAAGGCATGAGCAATTTCCACGGGTTTGAAACGCTTTTGCTCAATTAAACCTAGTCCCTTCTTTCAATCTTTTTTTCCGTCTAAAATCTGTGCATAGTCTACTTGATTCGTAACTGTTATACTTACTGCAAAATGTTACTCGTCCTCTTTGGTTCCACTTAATCACCCACTTGTACTAGAAGCAACTGTAGTTGGCGTTTCAGCTGCTAGTATAGCAATAAGCTGTTGTTGTCTTCTTAAATCGAGCTGATTTTGGAAATTTAATTAAGTTACCTTTTAAGCTAAACTGCTAACAGCGTTCACTGCAAAATTAAAGTACCTTAGCACAATAGCTTAGGCAATAATTCACAGTTGCCTCTAGTAATAGACGTAATTTCATCGATGAAAGTTGACTAATCGAAATGAGATTTTACATGGCCTTTGTATCACTGCTGGTCACCGAAATCACCAATTACTTTAGTTCTGTTGACCTGTCAAAAGCGGAGTTCTTTATGAAGATGATATTAATTACGGGAGTGACCTTCAAAATCTCGAAATGGGAATATAAACTGAGAAGCACTCTGACAAGTAGTCGTTGAATACTTTAATTTCGAATGTCTAGGAAATGTCTAACATAAACATCTACTCTGCTTACTAACAGCGTCTGTCATCCTCCTAATCACGTCTGAAGGTTGCTACATACCTAGGCACTCAGAATTAGTCGAACGCACACTTTACCGTAATATTCTCTTTGGTTTAGAAGCGTTATTAGTATAACTCACAACAACGAGGAAGAAAATGCTATTTTCTTATTGTTTCACGCCTCCATTTTCAAACTTCAGAATACTTTTTTCTTTAATTTACTGAACATTTTCGATTTTTTTAATAAAAATCATAAATATGTGATTAATTTGTAGGTTAAATTACAAAAAATGACAGGAAGAACTTCAAGAGATTTTACCGAACGAAATCCTGTTCAAGTAACAAATCCGCTCATTCATTCTGCTATTTCCTGTTGGGAGCTCCGGGAATTTTAGGTCTAAACTAAAGATCGTCTAGTTTTCAGCAGGCCATTAGTCTTTTTATTTTGTTCCCTTTTACATAATTACCATAAAACTCCCAAAAGCATTAGGAAATGAAGATCGAGGGATGGAGGGTTTTTTGGTAAAAAAGGAATATACCTAGAGAAAAGTTTCCATCTTCACCTTGGCATTAATTTTATCAAGTTACTTTACAATTGGCTTGCAATTAATAGAATCTCGTTTTTTTCTACCGAAAAACAAGTTTATGGATTTAAACCTTAAACCCCCCACCAGAAATCAAGCTTGACTATTCCTCAGCGCCAAAACGATAGACTGTTGCACTAATTAACTCTGACTGCCAATCAAATTCAATTTAAAACTTTTTATGGAAACGAACCAATTGAGGTTAGCAAGTTAGTACAGTTATTCATTTCCATAACTGACTCTTAGCCATTCGTCTTTACTAGTTTTGATTAATGGTACTTGAGGTTTTTTAATAGCCTTGTTTTTGTCTAAGTTGTAAAACAAAAATGACTTAAATGGAACTTCAAGTTATGCCTGTCTATCTACCAAAGTTGCAATTTTATTTACAAGAGTGGAAATAAATAATTTAAGAGTAATGGACTTTGCTTACTTCACTCAGGTGCACTAATAGTGCTCATCAAAAGCGAAATCGCTATTCTAAGCTATAGTACTCCACAAAAGCCAATTTTATTACCTGGATTACAATGGTATAGAGTTAAATTATTAGATTTCTGCATTTTGTGGTCATATTTCCATGGTTATTTGTTCTAAAGCCAGCATGCACAGAAGATAAAATGCCCCATGGTCAAATGTTATTGTTTTACTTAAATTTCGCATGGCCTTCCATTTGCCTACAGGAGAGAGACAATCATTATGGACGTGCCCGCGGGTGTGGAGATGGGGGGGGGGGGGGGTGAAGAGAGGGAGGGAAGGGAGCTAGAGAAGTCGTTGTGTTTGAGTCAGTTGATTATTTATTTTGCATTTGAATGCAATAAAAACATTCACATTTATCATTTTCTTTTCGTCTAAACTAACCAACATCCAATAGCTGTGAACAAATGGAGAAAATATTTGGGCAATAAAAGCTGACAGACTTATAATTATCTAAGCTCAACACGTTAGGTTGCGTCAAAGTGACTATAGTGCTTAAGAGATTGAATTTAAAATAAACTATCCTTAATACCAACGTCGCTCGTTGGTAAGTGCTACTTTCTGCGTGAATGGCAATACGGCCAATACTAGTAAAAAACTTGAAAAGATGTGGTAAAGCATAAAGGCACGAAAATAGAAACTTTCGATAAGGGTTGAATAGAATCAGCGGAATAGTCAAAGCTGTGATTTACACGATTGTGGAATTTCCTTGTTAAACTTAATGAGTCATGACAGAATATTGCACGCGTTTAATTTCAAAATTGAATAACTAGTTTCCTGATGTTTCTGGCTTTGAGCACACTCAGTTCTCGTGAGATGTTCATAAAATCTAGGTAACTTTATCAATTTATCCTTATCAGTTGTTAACTCCTAATTAACATAGCAAAGTTCATTCAATTTCACTCGAGGTATTGTTATTTGGGGACAATAAAGCTTTACCTGTTATTTGAGACTTTTCAATTGGTTATTTATCAATTTCATCCACATTTCCTAATTTTGTGCGTTCTATCAAGTGTAACACATCTCCAAACAGTAGAACGACTATCGCAGTCTTCTCTCTATACTTTATGCAACATAAACTCTTTGTTGTGATCTTTGTCTCCTTTCGACTTTGTACCAGCAAAGTTTTAAAAGGTTTAAATGTTATTCCACTCCTATAAAAGTACCATCAAAGCAAGAAAAAATTTGCTCCATATACCTTTTAGCAAAACGCCATTTTCTTTATTTTAATGACTTAACCAAAGACAAAAGCATTACTCATGAGTGCATTGATTGGAGAAATACCTTATTTAGTAACTTAAATTAAAATACCCCCCCCCCCTAATCTTGTTCAATTGTATTTATGATCAACAATTTTAGATCAATACTTGAAGCAAATTTATTTATTTCGAATGGCAGGCGTTTTGATAGTTATCATTAGTCCTTTAGTTGACTACGGGCTTCATAGAGGGGAGGAGGAACATCAAAGTGAAAAAAGTCGATAGGGAGGAACGGAAGAGTGGTTTAAAGATGTAAAAGAGACAGACACAAAGTAAGAGAAAAAGGTAAAATGAGTACAATGGAAGGGATAGAATATGCCATACAGTGGGGCTATTGTAGTTCGAAGTCAGAAGTCAACTGCCGGTTAATAGACTTTTTTTGCTGTATGAGTATACGTTGTCCAGGGTGCACCACGTAGAGGTAAGTCTATCGCACACCCCACTTGAAGAAAATAAAGCCAATCAACGCGCTTCATATGAGAAAAACGTATTTCACATTCGTACTTACTTTAAATTTTAAAGCAGCTTTTTAATCGTGTCCACTTAAAGGGATGTGACCTTTACCCACTTCAATTTACCTCTTATCACAATAACGTTAGCAAAATACTCATGACCTACGATTTCAAGAGAAACGTTAATGTGGAAAAGGAAGAGAATGCTGAACTCCGGCCTTTCAAGACAACTTCAAATGGCGGTTACTAAAAGAAGCATTTAATATTTGTTTTAGAGGTAAAATAAAAATGAAAACAACTTAAAATGAATTAAAATCTTAATAATTAAATCAAGTATTACTAGTGGGTATATAAGGCATACGCCATTTTATGGCCGTGGCTAGAGGTTTGGATATTGAATTGTTCAGAAGTGGCAAGAATTCATTTTTCCTATTCACGGAAGCTTCACGGAGTTTGGCCTAACCACCATTCAACACTTCTTTTATGAATTTTGATGAAATCGGAAAATTTTAAGATATTCAAGGCCGCCTCCACCTCTCTACCCCCCTCTCTCTGTAATCTTAAAGAACGAAACAAGATTAATGATATCTTCCGTTAATCAATCTCTATCTGTCTTCTCCTTCTCTTGCCGTGGTTCAGCATTCCATTAGGCCATCTCATTTTTTATCGTTTAGAATTGGAAAGATTATTGATTCCCATTGGTCGTTAACCTCATCGGTTTGTCAAAGAGACATTTACAACCAAAATTAAGGCAAATTTTATTAAAGTTCGAGCAAACTTAAAGTGCTTATTAACATTGAATTATGAAACATGAATAATTCCATAAAATTGATTTTGTTTACTAACAAGATCATTATGCAAAATATGCCAATAATTGGAAACTTATTAGTAAATTTCACACCTAAAAATGTTGACCATTGTTAAAGTACTTCTCCTTATGGAACGAAAGCACGTGGTACTAATAAGTGCAAATTCTGTGGCAGAATTCACATCCTTCATTTTTTAACAAAAAATTTAGCAAGTGCTCATTATTTACAAGATTTTATGACAGAAATTTTAAATTTTGTCTATAAATTGACTTTCAAACCATCCTCTAATACCTCATTTAACGAGGAGCAAGCATTAATTCTATTTTTACTAAGTGGATTCATTGCAATTTTGCTTGATTACCGGTTAGTTTCTTCTTTAAGATGTTTTAATAAAGAGTCGTGACAAAATTGACAAGCTTGCCGACGTGAGATGAAAATTTGAATTTATCGGACTTGGAGAGGCGATTTCGACATGACTTGTGCTTAGAATCGTCTGAAAGACTTTCATGGCTTAATATTTTTTCAGTTTTAACAAGTTCACAGAGACTAAATTTCAAAGCTCAATACTCACATTTATTAGCCCTTTTTAGACATATCAACCATATTCTAAGTTAAATTTTTCTAGCAGTATAATTTGGAGTAAGCTTGGATTAAACTAGGTTTGAGGAAATAAGTGTTATTACCGGAAATTTATATTCGATTAGTTTCTCAAAATGGGGAGAAGGGTGGTATCTTAATAGCCAATCCCTCACTATTTCTAGTCTTTGAGTATGTGCTCGTAACTGCTCTTCCATAAGTACTTCTTATCAATAGTCACTAATGTTAACGATACTTAGGAACACATTCATCAAGTCAACTAGACTATGAGTCATGATTAGAATAGTCTCTATGACTATCATTAAAATGATTCTTTTAGTGAGCAATACTAAGGTGTCCCAGGTTTAACCAGACGAAAGCATTACTTATTTCCTTGTTGATTATTCCATCAACTGAAAGTATTTTAGAGGAAGTCTGATTAGTTTTCATATGATTGTAATATCCTATCATTCTATCCTGTCTGAGAACTTAATAATGTGATTTACAGTAAATTGCCAAAGCTGCTAATATTTGTGAATATTACCTTCTATTTTCGGTTTTGACACTCAATATTTGGGAACCGTTGAATCAATTAGAGCATTTTGGAGGCAGTTGGCCTTCTGTATTCCTATATGCGAGTTTCGATTCACTACTGTGTTTCAATCACAAATTGCATTTTCGACTCAGATCTGTTTCAAAGCATAGAAAACACCCCAAATTTCGGTATTCATAATAGCTCTGAGGGGGCGTACCACTTCAGTTCTCAAGAATAGAGATCAGCAATCCAAAAAGGTAGAATTAAATGAAAATGATTGAAAACAGATGGTAATTGGTTTGACTACTAACGGACATTTACACTGGAACAATTACATTTTGACTGAGACTCTTATTCAGTATACTAATGATTAATATCGACATAAAATACTTATTTAATAATTGGACAACATTACTGCCTATTTCAAAGCTTGAAATATGCAGCTGAATATATGGAGCTGATCAAATCGAACTCAAGTGATTCCCAGCATCATGAGTGGTCACAAACAAACTATCTCATCACTGTTTTTAGATTAGAGGAATTAGTCCTCTTTTAAGATTTTTGTAAACTTTTTCTCCACTTTTCCGCTCTTAATTTGATAGTGAATGAAATAAATGAATTTTCTCTCAAAAAAATGCTTGGCTTATTTGCATAATAAGACTTGAACTGGTTTTCAAACTAAATACGGAAGTCACGATCAGTTCAAATGGCACCATTTTTTAAAATTATGCTGAAAAGTAGGGTATAAATAATGATGATATCATGATTGAATTCGAAGTGAAATGTGGGTGTTTAGTCGTAAATATTCTGGAATGAAACCAATCAGAAGGAGGAAGGTAAGGGGGCTAGCTATCGTGAAAAATATCTTATCAGATTTAGATTGGAGAAAGAAAAAAAAATGAAAAATGACAAGGTTGGTTGATTTGGATACAAATTAGGCATTTTCTCTAGAGTATAGGCAAATTTTTCCACTCATTTAACCAATTAGCAATTTGTGAAACTTTAAAATTTAAGCATGCAAGTGAAAACTTAACTATTTTACATTTTTCTTCATTTTCTTACGCTGTAGTAAAATTTTGGTGAAAAATGCTTGCTCATGGTTGAAATGTTTCAATTTTGGGAATTTTAACATTGGGATAAATATTTTACTCAAATAGAAAGATTCCAATTCTGTATTGGGATAATTTTTCCACCCATTATGAGAAATTTTGTCAATTAAAGTGAGTAGAAATTTGTTGACATTATTTTGCTTAAAATAAGTGGAAATTTGTCCATGAAATTAAACAAATCGAAGGATATTCACCGTTGCACACACTATGTACCTCAGCCTCTATTTATATCGACATATTTTTGAGAGCCAATGTTTATTACTGACTGATTTTCCTTGTTTTTTATCTTTAACTTAACGGGTTTAATTTCTTTCTGCCTATGATTTATACCTTCATTCACTTTTTTCCTCAATGCAACTAAATCAAATTTTTACGCTATTGATTTGAGAACAGATGTTTTTCCTCTGTTCCCTTTTAATATTAATATATTTTTTGCTGTCTGTTCCTCAACTTGGTTTAGCGCAATCTGAAAGAATGAGAATTTCAGTATCTTGGTAAGTTTTTGCCGACAATTACAGAACAATTTGAATTTTTCATGTTAGCCTTAAATCTATGGAAGAGTTGAAACACTTTTGCCAGCTGTTCAGATTTTCTGCATCGAAGTAATTTGAAATTATGGGGGGGGGGTTTATTATCTGGAGTTAATTCATATTTAAGTTAAAATAGAATCAATGAAATTGATTGAATCAATAATTATTTGTCAGCTCAATAGTTTTGGAAACCCTGGAAATATGCTTATTTATTAACCCAAACGAATAAAGCTCAAACCTTGATATTTTGTAAAAAAATAGACTATAATCAATAGAATTGCGGATTTATACTAAGCACGGCCTTTTAATTGTACCAATTCACTCTATTTCTTCATCAAAATGTTTGTGCCCATTCACAACTCTCTAATGCAAATTTGCACCTTTTAATCTTTGGAAAGAAGTCACCATTAAAATGATGAAATGAACCATGGTTATTAAGCAAACGATGGTTTTGCAATAGATATAGTGGAATCGTCACAAGAATGAATAAGAAAATTAAAAGATAAAACGCAATGGAAACGTTCCATAGTTTTAATTGAGTCCTAGTAAGCTTTTTATTGACAACTTGCCAAAAATTTTAATCAATTTCATACCATACTGGGTTCGTTTGGTTGATCACAATTTTTAGAACGTATTAAATATTTTCCCATGCCATAAACAGCAACATTAAGCAATTTTTCTTTTAGCAGTTAAAGTTTTAGTAGGGGAATGAAAAGAAAACCAAACTGTAGGACTGTCATGTTAAAAAAATATAGGCTTTTAGAGGTTATTTTGTTGAACAAAAGCAAGAATATCAATTTTTAATGTGCCAATAAATTGTGGGACACGTCATCACATGCCTGCACGCCAGGATTGGGAGGTGCGACCTGGGAGGTGCGACCGTACAAACAGTGACCAATCATTAACCTCTGTTTGTGCTACCGTACAAACAGTGATCAATCATTAACCTCTGTTTGTTTCCGTACAAACAGTGACCAATCATTAACCTCTGTTTGTTTAACCTAATCCGCCCTCATGATCATGATTATGCTCCCTGTGTGTACACTTTATCCTCAATATTCGTACTGAATAAACGTGCTCCGTGCTACACGTCTGTTTCCTTCATATCTGGGCTATAGCTTAGCTGGTTGTGAGAGTCTAGCCAGATGTAGGAGAATCTGCCATAGAGATTTCTGAGTCAGTCAGGCTTTACTAATATAGCAATCCGCTACAAGATAATAAGCAATGATTAAAAGAGTTCTAACTTGAAAGAACCAAGTTTACTTAATGAATCTCGACGCAAATAACCCTATTCAAATTCATGAGTGAAGTGCTGTTCATTGATTTTGAATTTGTGTTCATTTAAATTATTAATCACTCTTGAATAGCGCTAATCTCGTATTATCAATTGGCCTTATTTGAATTAGTATAAAACCATGTTCCACATTAAATTACTCTCAATTGCTAGAAGTATCAGAAGAGGTGCGATTCGTCCAACCTAATTTTATAATTTGTAGATGATCAGAAATTTGCAAATAATAAATTCGATAATTAACTTGTGTTCAGAACGATGAATAGTATCGTGTCAATTTGGAGACAGTAAACATCAGAGCAGAAACATTTCAAAATCGGAATTACATAACATAGTGATATCCCGCGTTTACGTACATAAACATTTGCAACACCTTGTGTGAGACGCTTGAAATATCACACTTTTATTCTTTTCGATTGCAACCGTATAAAATGGGCCAAGAGAATACTATGATCAAGGATGACATTCTTTCAGACACAATTGTAAATGTTAACTTCACAAGCGGACAGTTTAATAAAAAGGTTTTATTCCATAATTGCTTAAAACCATTTTCGGCTATTAAGATGAATTTTGTTCGTGATACCGATGTTCAAAATCCTGCCTATACTCCTCCAACTCGGCCACTGACAGGCTAAAACGTCGAATGAAACAATGGAGTGTCTCATACTCCGCACCATTTTCAACGATTACCTTATTGGGATAGAGATTGAAATAGATAAATTGTCTGCGGAGGAGCAGAGCTCTTGTACGAAGCCCATCAATCAGTTCAGTTATCTCCTTGTACTCCTCACCATTTTTAACGATTACCTCATTGAGGCAAAGGTTGAAATATATAAATTTTCTCCTGGAAAGTTCATCAATCCGTTCAGTTAAATCCTTGAACTCTGATGCTGTCAACTGATTTTCTGAACTAAAAATTCGGTGGAGTTGTTTTCTATGCTTCCTTAATGCATGCATAAAGGTGTCGAAATGCAGGACTAATACTTAATTGTCTACAAATTCCATCTTAACGGGCTGATTACAATTGTGAGCCCAATTGATTTTCAGATTCCCAGAATGTATTCACAATTATTATAGAGTGCTCCAATCACAAATATTGCCAAAAATTATAGCAATATGTTTTGTTGACTGCGATAAATTATAATGTCAAAAAAGTAGTTTATTTCATTGAGATTTTGGATCAAAAGTTTTAACGGTTAGAAATACATTAGGACCGTTGCAGAGCCGACCACTACCCTCTTTAATGTCATTTTGTTTCCATATTATTTCCCGTTCAGTTTGCAGAATTTACTTCTCTAATACTCTGCGTTTCGGAACTCATAACATGACCCGTGACTCGCTAACGCATAGTCTTGGTCAAATCAGAATTTGCACAGAATCTGTGAAATAAAACAAAAGTAGGTGGATGGTGAGGCGGTAGCCGTGTTGTGGATACAAATTTCACGTATTGGGAGATGGAGTAGTTATTGTTGAATGGCCTTCAAATATGTGGTGATGTGTATGGAAGTCATGAGAGGATGAACAAACTGTACTATAGACCAAATTAATAGGTGCAGTGAAATCGAGGTTCTCGTCTCTAATCTTTTCTATGTGCATTGAGATATGAGAATGGCTTCTAATATCGCCGACTGGGAAAACTAAACCTCAATAGATCTTATTTACAAACCATTTGATTGCCTCATCTCGCCAATCAAAGTAAATCATTTAAAGGCACACGTGGATTCATCCATCAGGTTTATTTATGCACCGTCAGGCAAAGATATCTGCGTAAAGTACAGCATAAGTTTGTGAATTAGTGAAAACTCTAGAGGTTAGCTTCATAATATAGTTTTAGATGACTAAAAGTGTCAGTAAGCGCTAGGGAAAAATGACCATATCGCAGCCTATTAGTTAACATCGGTAAATAACTTTCATTCAATAGATTACTACTCTACAACATGTGATCTGAGTTAATTTAAAATCTTCACAGATGCAATGAACACAAAAAACGAAGAAACTGACCAAGAACACACACGTTTATTCTGCCTGGATAACCACTTCCATATGTTATCTCCTAACTTTAGGCCAACCAAGAAAATAAAGAGATAATGTTTCCATAAACATTTTCGTCAAAGGCCACTATTACAGTTTAAAGCTGGGGAAGAGAATGCCAGAATTCAGAGAAAAAGAAATATCTCCAAGAACTCTCTTTTCAATCCCCAATGATTCAACCCAACGCATTCCATTGCCTTTTTTCGTATGCTTGATACAATTTTCAAACATAAGGATTCATGCAGAGGATATTTAAAGCTCATATCCACTTATTTTGTCTGAGCATAGTGAAAATGTATGTTTTCTTCTTGCAGAATATTCAAGATAACCAAACCTAGGCTGGTTCTTACGAATACAGAGTTCAAAAGTCTCTCTCTGCACTCTACTCCATCTGCCACTCATTTTAGTTTGTATTACATTCATATTGCCACGATCTAATTGAAGGTTATCCGATAAGCGGCAAGAAGTATTTATATCAAATGGCAGACGTTTTGATAGCTATCATTATCTCTTTAGTTGACTTCAGGCTTCACAGAGGGAGAGGAACATCAAATAGAAAAAGTCGCAAGTGGGGGGGGGGAGGGACAGAAGATTGTTTTAAAGATGTAAAAGAGACAGACAAAAATAGATGAAAGGTGAGGTGAGTACTGTGAAAATAGTCGAATATGACATAGAGTGAGGTGATGGTAGTTTGAAGTGAGAAGTCAACTGCCAGTCAATAGACTTTTTACCGTATGAATATACGTTGCCCAAGGTACACCACATGGAGGTAAGTCTATCGCACACCCCAAGCGGCAAGAAGTAACCGCTGAAGAGATTGGCTTTTACTCCGAGAGATTCATTCCATTGGCAAAATGTGTTTACTAGTGTTTAGGCATAATGAATTCGAATAATTTATTCTGCTCTATTTAGTATATTATGCACTCCTATTTCATTGCGTTTCACTTGATTTCTTCCCTTTATGAGGTGCTTTTGATGGCATCAGAATTCTCTCTGTTTGAACCTCCCAAGGCTTTCAAGCATCGCTGTTCTGAATAATCACAAATTCAAAAATCACAAATTACTAAAAGAACTTAAATTGAGACCCGACATGCTCAAATGGCCTAACTAAAGCTAACAAGATAATTCCGGAGGTCTGGAAACAGTCATCTCGTTAGGAAAATTGCGGAATTAAACCAATATTGAAACCAATAATTATAAATAGTGAAAAATAAACTTTATTAAGGAGCTTTGGAATGAACCTCTATCCACTAGATAGAGTTGATAATTTGACAAAATCGGGATTTAATTAAATCTGTGCTCTGGTGGTTTTTTCTTTATTCCTGGCAAATAAATCTTCCATCTCCTATTGTTAAATCATTGAAGTACTTCTTTATTGTAAAAAACTTCAAAATTAACTAATGATAATAATCATTTGGAAGTAGAATTTTCATTTAATAGTAAAGATAAGAATGGTTTTAGACAGGCAAAATGACTGCATTTAAGGCTACTATAGAATGAGTTTGAAGAATTTTGTTCAGTGAAGTTGTAAAACTTCTACAAGATGAAGAATGCGTTTCAATTACTTCAATTAAAGCCATTATTGCAACCAAATATTTATTTATGTCAAATGGCAGGCATTTTGATAGGTATCATTATCCCTTTAGTTGACTACGGGCTTCATAGAGGGGAGGAGGAACATCAAAGTGAAAAAAGTCGATAGGGAGGAACGGAAGAGTGGTTTAAAGATGTAAAAGAGACAGACACAAAGTTAGAGAAAAAGGTAAAATGAGTACTATGGAAGTGGTCGAAAATGACATACAGTGGGGTCATGGTAGTTTGAAGTCAGAAGTCAATTGCCGAATAATAGACTTTTTTGCCGTATGAGTACACGTTGCCCAGGGTGCACCACGTAGAGGTAAGTCTATCGCACACCCCATGCAACCAAATATAATTTTCTTTAAAATTTACTGATAAAAATTCTGTCAATTTGGAAGGCTGGCTT